ACGAATTTTATTTGCTATTATAGATTCGAGTAACTTTCCCACAATAGACGTTAGGCTAATTGGTCGATAGTTAGACGCAAGTGATCTATCTCCTTTCTTAAAAACTGGTATCACATTAGCAACTTTCCAAAACTCTGGCACTCTGCCTGACTCTATTGATTTATTAAATATGGTTGACAGTGGGTCACAAAGCTCCTCTTTGCATTCTTTAAGCACCTAGCAAACACTTCATCCGGCCCTGGGGATTTGTTTGGTTTGAGTTTTACTATTTGTTTAAGAACATCCTCCCTGGTAACTGCTAAACTCGTCAACCTGTCCTCGTCCCCACCCACATAGACTTGTTCGGCTGAAGGCATATTGTTAAGTTCCTCTTTAGTAAATACAGATACAAAATATTTATTAAAAATACTACTCATCTCTTCATCACTATCTGTTATTTGACCTGTCTCAGTTTTTAATGGACCTATCCTTTCCCTAGTCTTAGTACGATATAACTGAAAAAACCCTTTAGGATTTGTCTTTGCTTGCCCTGCTATGCGAACTTCATAGTTTCTTTTTGCTTTCCTTATCTCTTTTTTTAACATTTCTAACCAGTTGTACGAATTCCTGTTCTAAAGTGACCTCCCCATTTTTAATCCTTTTGTACCAAGCTCTCTTTTTACCTATAAGGTTCTTCAAATTCTTTGTTATCCACTTTGGGTCATTAGTATACGATCTATTCAATTTGTATGGTATACTACGTTCCTGTGCTTTGTTTAGAATATTCTTAAATAAGTTATATATTGAATCCACATCGAAATCCCCATTTAAGTCACCTATCGCTGGGTTCATGTCTCGCTCCAAGACCGGCCCACACCCCATACCCAAGCCTTTCCAATCAATTTGACCCAAAAAATTTCTTAGGCTATTAAAATCAGCTTTTCGAAAATCTGGCACTTTAACAGAATTTTCTCCTACTGGTCTATTCCATTCTATGCTAAATCTGATTTCTTTGTGATCACTGCTCCCTAGCTCACTCCCTATTTCGATGTCATTAATTTGCGTTTCCCTGTTAGTTAACACTAAATCTAAAATATTATTTTCCCGTGTTGGTTCCTTAATGTGTTGCGTAAGAAAGCAATCGTCAATTAATTCTAGAAAATCTTCTGCTTCACTATTCCCTGTTTTGTTCAACCAGTTTATTCCGCTAAAATTAAAGTCACCCATGACATAAATACTGTTAGATCTAGATGCTCTAGATATTTCATCCCATAGATGCTTTGCTTCCATTCTGTCTAAATTTGGTGGCCTATATATTACTCCTATTATAATATTATTAGCTTTTTCGTTTAATTCAATCCAAATAGTTTCTGTGTGTGGCTCTGTTTTGATTCCCTCTTTGAGACTACATTTCAAATTGTCCCTAACATATATGGCTACTCCACCTCCTCGTCTAATATATCTATCTGTGTGAAATAGTTTAAATCCATATATTTGATATTCAGCTAATAGTTCTCTATTTTCTACATTCATCCACGTTTCGGTAAGTGCAATAATATCTATTTTTTCTGTGCAGACAAGAGCATTTAATTCGTTAATTTTATTTCTTAGACTTCTACTGTTAGTGTAATATACCCTAAGTGAATTGTTATTTTGCGGACCTTCTCTTTCCCTGATCGTTTTGCCAATTCCTTTCTCCCACAAACACATACTTTTATTACCTCCTTCCTCCAAATCAATTCCCATACCTCTATCTACTAACAGTTTAAACCCAAACAAACACCTCTAACCACTTCTTCTAGCGAGTTCGCAACAGCAACAACCCCAGCTCTCGATAGATGCACCCCATCACGAGCATACATTTCATTTCTTCCATAGAAGTGTTCCCAGTTGTCTATGAAAGATATTGCATTTGATTTGCAATATCTTTCCAGCCGGCAATTGACACCAAGTGCCCTCGATATCCATTCATTTCCCACTCCCTTTCTTGGAAGAATGCCACATATGATCGGGATTCCTCCCTTGCTCCTAACTAACTCTATGGCTGTTTTATACCTCTGAATCAGTTCCTCACTCCTGACTCGACCAACATCATTTCCTCCCACGCTAATGCAAATAATGGGATTGTTCCCATTACCAGCCATAATATCATTCATGTTGTTTATAATATCACCAATGCCAGCTCCGGGATAGCAAACCCTTAACCTGTTCCCCCTATCTCTAGCACAAACGTTCTATCCAAATACCTTATCTGGGAATCTCCCACAACTAATGTTTGCTTAGGTACTTCCTTTACTTTCTGAGGGGCCTGCGCTTCCTTTCTCTTCGTTGCTTTCCCTTTTGCGCGATCCACAGTCTCTCCACAGCACTCGTCCTCCAAAACGTCAAATGAATTTGAAGTTGCTATGGCGTTTGAAGGCGGTTTTATCAAAGTCTTCTTAAGGCCCCTGTCTTTCGCAACTCTCCAAGACGAGGTCCCTTTACTGCTGGTCTCCTCCTTCGTTACTTCTCGTTGTTTTTTAAGCTGACGCACCTCCTCCCGCAGAGAGTCCAACTCTGTCCTCAGGGCTCCCACTAGAGTCACCAGGTCCTTCACTACAACTTCCATATTGCTATGATACCATATTTAATAAATCAATAGAGTCAGGCAGAGTGCCAGAGTTTTGGAAAGTTGCTAATGTGATACCAGTTTTTAAGAAAGGAGATCACTTGCGTCTAACTATCGACCAATTAGCCTAACGTCTATTGTGGGAAAGTTACTCGAATCTATAATAGCAAATAAAATTCGTCTTCATCTTGAAAAACATAAATTAATAATTGAGTCGCAACATGGTTTTATAAATGGCCGTTCATGTTTAACAAATTTGTTATCTTTTTATTCTAGCATTGTTGAGGCAGTTGATAGTGGTAAGGATTGCGATGTTGTATACCTTGACTTTAGCAAAGCTTTTGATACAGTGCCACATGAAAGACTGATTAAAAAAATAGAGTCTCATGGTATTGGGGGTGCTATATTAAGCTGGATTAGGGCATGGCTATACCAAAGGAAACAGAGAGTTAGTATAAATGGAATCAAGTCAGAGTGGGAAAATGTTGTAAGTGGAGTGCCTCAAGGCTCTGTCCTGGGACCTCTGTTGTTTATAATATATATAAATGATTTAGATTCAGGTTTGAGTAGCAACATTTGCAAATTTGCCGATGATACGAAAATCGGTAGGGAAATTAATTCGGAGGAGGACTCACTATCACTTCAAGTTGATCTAGATAGGGTTTTGAAATGGTCAAAGGATTGGCAGATGCAGTTTAATGCTGATAAATGTAAAGTTCTGAGGTTAGGTAATGATGATAGAGTTACAAGATACGAGCTAGATGGTGTTGTGATTGCGAAGTCGGATTGCGAAAGGGATCTGGGAGTTATGATTAGTAAGAATTTAAAACAAAAGGATCAATGCATAAATGTTCGTAATAAGGCAAATCGGACACTTGGATTTATTAATCGCAGCGTTAGTAACAAGACACCTGGTGTGGTTCTCAAGCTATATCTTGCTCTAGTTAGGCCCCATTTAGATTATGCAGTTCAGTTTTGGTCGCCATATTATAGAATGGATATAAATTCACTTGAACGTGTCCAGCGTAGGATGACTAAGTTAATTCCCCAAATTAGAAATCTTTCATATGAAGAAAGATTAACAAAGCTTAAGTTGCATTCACTGGAAAGGCGAAGAGTTAGGGGTGACATGATAGAGGTTTACAAGTGGATGAATGGACATAACCGGGGGGATATTAATAGGGTATTAAAAGTATCAACACAGGACAGAACACGAAACAATGGATATAAATTGGATAAGTTTAGATTTAGGAAAGACTTGGGTAAATACTGGTTCAGTAACAGGGTTGTTGATTTGTGGAACCAATTGCCGCGTAACATTGTGGAGGTGGGGTCCCTCGATTGTTTCAAGCACGGGTTGGACAAGTATATGAGTGGGATTGGGTGGTTATAGAATAGGAGCTGCCTCGTATGGGCCAATAGGCCTTCTGCAGTTACCTTTGTTCTTATGTTCTTATGTTCTTATGTATATGCTGTGCTTACTATATTAACCTGGAATGTTAAATGGGATTCTTGTATTGTAATTTGTGTATTTGTACCCATTGAATTTGTGCGCCCCATGAGGGACTTGTAGTAGAGGAGGGTTAGAAATAGCCTAAGCTACTCTATCCCTTTGAGATGTATTTCTGTCTTTTCTCAATAAATATACTTAAACTTGAACTTGCGGAAATCGAAAGTTGCGGTTTAGTCAGAGTTAATCTGTTATTTGTATTGAGGCAGGAATTTTCTCCCCTGATTCCATGAATGCCTAACCATCCTGTGAGATGCGAATATTAGATGAACTTGTAGCTAGATTTTGATCTACACTTTATAGAAGTGTAGATCTTTCATATAGAATAGGGTTGCAGCACATTCCTCTGTATACCTAAGCTTCGATTTGGTATGCCATATCCTGGGAAAATTAGGATTAAGGCCCGAAACGCTATGGGTACTAGTGGCTGTAGAAGAATGTAAGAACTCTTATTTTTTTATTTATATATACTAATTAAAAATGTATCTTGAAAATTCAGTTCCTTTCATATGCTTAATTTTTATTTTTTTATTTATATATACAAAACATGCAAGGAAAGGAATTTTTAAGATGGCATATGTAAATCCACAATTATGAATATAATGAAATTAGTTTGTATATAATTTGCTTATATAAAATAAGTACACACATATATATACTGTATAAATATGCATTCTTCACACAAGGAGCAATGCAATATGTCAAGAACATCATTTGATTATATTATTGTACTTCCTATGCTATGAAATAACTTAACAAATATACTCTTTTTAATTCATGATGTAATATGTATTGGAGTAGGCCAAAAATGGGATGAAAAAGGGATAAAAAGGGATTAGACGAGTAGTATTGATAATGTTATAGAGAGTATCCCTGGGCGGGGGTCGAGCGCAGCACCGCCGCCGCTCCACCAATCAGCGTCGGCGTCGCCCCTCACAACCCCGCGCCGCTCCTGGGACACCTTCCCAGGCGAATTTTAAGCCATTTGTCCTCCTCTTGGCGTCTCAGCATCTTTATCACGCCCGAGTATCATTTGATCTAGTGAGCCACCGCACAGGGATCGCCATCATGGCCGATACACGTAAGTAGTTAAGCGTTGGTTGATGTTTTGTGTGTGAGTGAGAAGGTTGGCGGCGGCCTCGGGGGTGATGTGGTGGCCATTTTGTGGCCTCAGCCGCTCCTCGTGCTCCTATATGCTTCACCCTGTAGCTAGTCCTCTATATACACTGTTTTTAAAACTTGACATGTTTAGTTCTAATTCCAAATGTTAAATTTCTTTTGCCATTTTTTTGCTTAATATGTGAAGTTCTGAGAATTAGTATTGAGGTGCTGGTGTCTGAGGTCTCCTGCGCTTAACATTCTTAATGTGAGCTTTAAATACTTTAAATTTTAAAAAATTGGAAAGCCAGCTTTGTTAACCTCCCCTCCCCCCCTTAGCGAGTGGTCTGACCTTCCCCTTGGTGGTGGTGGTGTGATGTTGAATTAATATAAACGGTGTTTTTTTTTATTGAATAAGATAGTATGTATTGTAAGGCTGGGGTGATATAAGACTATAAGGATATAGGTGTCTGCAGAAGGTATATTGGCCCATATTAAGCGACACCTATTTAAAGCCACTTAAAAACTTGTTTGGGTATTGTTACCTTACTGGGAGTCGCTCGTATGAGCTGAGCCACCGAGCTAGCCACAGTAAGGAAGGATGCCAAAGGCTCCAACTGCTACCCAAATGCCAAAAAAGTGAATGGTCCATTCTGTAGTGGAGTATGGAGGAACTAGGTGAGCCATGCCCGAGTTATGAGTTGCCAGCCATGAATGCCTACCGTGCTTGGGGTTGATGGTTCGAGGCTCCTGATTGCAATTGCTGATCATCTCAAGACAACCTCCTAATGCCCCGGTGAATGATGTTGCGATCCACTTTTGTCGGTGACGATTTATATTTTGAAGTGATTTAATTATCCCACATGTATTGTTACCCAGTAATTTTCACCCTAAATTAGCTGTTTACGAAGTGGTAGTTACCATAGTCGATCTTCCAGTTTCTTTTGAGTTATTTAGACTATCTAAATCATCCCACTTATCTATATCCCCCATACTATTGATCTTAAGAACATAAGAACATAAGAACAAAGGTAACTGCAGAAGGCCTATTGGCCCATACGAGGCAGCTCCTATTCTATAACCACCCAATCCCACTCATATACTTGTCCAACCCGTGCTTGAAACAATCGAGGGACCCCACCTCCACAATGTTACGCGGCAATTGGTTCCACAAATCAACAACCCTGTTACTGAACCAGTATTTACCCAAGTCTTTCCTAAATCTAAACTTATCCAATTTATATCCATTGTTTCGTGTTCTGTCCTGTGTTGATACTTTTAATACCCTATTAATATCCCCCCGGTTATGTCCATTCATCCACTTGTAAACCTCTATCATGTCACCCCTAACTCTTCGCCTTTCCAGTGAATGCAACTTAAGCTTTGTTAATCTTTCTTCATATGAAAGATTTCTAATTTGGGGAATTAACTTAGTCATCCTACGCTGGACACGTTCAAGTGAATTTATATCCATTCTATAATATGGCGACCAAAACTGAACTGCATAATCTAAATGGGGCCTAACTAGAGCAAGATATAGCTTGAGAACCACACCAGGTGTCTTGTTACTAACGCTGCGATTAATAAATCCAAGTGTCCGATTTGCCTTATTACGAACATTTATGCATTGATCCTTTTGTTTTAAATTCTTACTAATCATAACTCCCAGATCCCTTTCGCAATCCGACTTCGCAATCACAACACCATCTAGCTCGTATCTTGTAACTCTATCATCATTACCTAACCTCAGAACTTTACATTTATCAGCATTAAACTGCATCTGCCAATCCTTTGACCATTTCAAAACCCTATCTAGATCAACTTGAAGTGATAGTGAGTCCTCCTCCGAATTAATTTCCCTACCGATTTTCGTATCATCGGCAAATTTGCAAATGTTGCTACTCAAACCTGAATCTAAATCATTTATATATATTATAAACAACAGAGGTCCCAGGACAGAGCCTTGAGGCACTCCACTTACAACATTTTCCCACTCTGACTTGATTCCATTTATACTAACTCTGTTTCCTTTGGTATAGCCATGCCCTAATCCAGCTTAATATAGCACCCCCAATACCATGAGACTCTATTTTTTAATCAGTCTTTCATGTGGCACTGTATCAAAAGCTTTGCTAAAGTCAAGGTATACAACATCGCAATCCTTACCACTATCAACTGCCTCAACAATGCTAGAATAAAAAGATAACAAATTTGTTAAACATGAACGGCCATTTATAAAACCATGTTGCGACTCAATTATTAATTTATGTTTTTCAAGATGAAGACGAATTTTATTTGCTATTATAGATTCGAGTAACTTTCCCACAATAGACGTTAGGCTAATTGGTCGATAGTTAGACGCAAGTGATCTATCTCCTTTCTTAAAAACTGGTATCACATTAGCAACTTTCCAAAACTCTGGCACTCTGCCTGACTCTATTGATTTATTAAATATGGTTGACAGTGGGTCACAAAGCTCCTCTTTGCATTCTTTAAGCACCCTAGCAAACACTTCATCCGGCCCTGGGGATTTGTTTGGTTTGAGTTTTACTATTTGTTTAAGAACATCCTCCCTGGTAACTGCTAAACTCGTCAACCTGTCCTCGTCCCCACCCACATAGACTTGTTCGGCTGAAGGCATATTGTTAAGTTCCTCTTTAGTAAATACAGATACAAAATATTTATTAAAAATACTACTCATCTCTTCATCACTATCTGTTATTTGACCTGTCTCAGTTTTTAATGGACCTATCCTTTCCCTAGTCTTAGTACGATATAACTGAAAAAACCCTTTAGGATTTGTCTTTGCTTGCCCTGCTATGCGAACTTCATAGTTTCTTTTTGCTTTCCTTATCTCTTTTTTAACATTTCTAACCAGTTGTACGAATTCCTGTTCTAAAGTGACCTCCCCATTTTTAATCCTTTTGTACCAAGCTCTCTTTTTACCTATAAGGTTCTTCAAATTCTTTGTTATCCACTTTGGGTCATTAGTATACGATCTATTCAATTTGTATGGTATACTACGTTCCTGTGCTTTGTTTAGAATATTCTTAAATAAGTTATATATTGAATCCACATCGAAATCCCCATTTAAGTCACCTATCGCTGGGTTCATGTCTCGCTCCAAGACCGGCCCACACCCCATACCCAAGCCTTTCCAATCGATTTGACCCAAAAAATTTCTTAGGCTATTAAAATCAGCTTTTCGAAAATCTGGCACTTTAACAGAATTTTCTCCTACTGGTCTATTCCATTCTATGCTAAATCTGATTTCTTTGTGATCACTGCTCCCTAGCTCACTCCCTATTTCGATGTCATTAATTTGCGTTTCCCTGTTAGTTAACACTAAATCTAAAATATTATTTCCGGAGTAATTTTTTTCTTTTTATGGTAGGGTTCAAAATCTTAGGATTAGGGTTGTCATCATTCTATGTATGTACTAGTGAAGGTGTCCATCCTATAGTATAGAAAAAAATGCATAATTTAAATGGTGCTTAAGTAGGGCAAGATAAAGCTAAAGAACATTACATGGCAATATGCGCTCTGCCGGTACCTTTATTCTTGTGTTCACTGGGTTGTGGGATTGATTTGTCATTAAAACAAGTTAGATATATATTTGAATGTTTGGGTAGATGTAAATAAGAGGTGGTTGATTTGAATCAATAATAGTAAGGTCAAATTGTAAGCAGGTACTGTACCGCTATTGACACCTCAATACAACACGTGATCATGTAAAAAGGAGAGACTGTCTCACTGTTTTTTTAGTGTACTCTCATAGAGCAGTTTTATTTCTGTGCAGCACGTTGCCTTATTGCTGAAAAATGCAACTTCTGCGGACCACTACAGCGATACAACAATAGTTATGGACTTTTTACGTGTAATTCTATGTTTCGTGGAACAAAGCACAGAATTACAATTAACAATGTCAAAGGGGATCATTTTTCAAACTTTTTTTTTTTTTTTTTTTTTACAAGTGCATAAATATTATAGGCTATGTAGTTTAAGGGTTAAAAGTGGGAAAGACTTGACTTTTCTATTTACATTTTTATATTGATCAAGAATCATTTCACTTTTCCCAATACTGTAATAATAATAGTAAATATGAAGTTAAAATGTAAATAGATAAAATTGGAAAAAACAAAAATCAGTGTTTGGAAATATTAACCAAATTATTTTAAGTAAAATTGGGTTTGATTGTTACTAGAGCAAAGGTACTTAAACTATTCTTTGATTTTAAGCTGTACCATAAAATTAGTAATTGTTCCATGGTATCTTTGGAAATAGCACATCTAATAAGAAATTTTAATAGAGTAAACCAAAAAATTAAATACACTACTTTCCCTTACACAAAGCCTGCTTATGATTATAGGTTGTATTTGTCTTGTGAACTTGCACAAGGTAGTTTTATGTTCAACCATGTTATCTTAGACATTAACATTTTATTCTTTTACATATGTTAACTGTACAGCTGGGAATAATATTTGTAATAAGTAATGTAATTTTCAATATTTGTGTTTAGCTGCCTTCTTTTCTGAGCTAAACAATAGGTGTTACACCCAAAGGGTTTTAGACATATTTTATCTAATTTATATATAAATTTACCTTTGGTCTTAAAGTACTTGCTTCATTATTTGGAAATGACCACCAACTTTTTTTAATTTGCACATCACTATATAATCTAGCCCTACAAGCATTACTCCCTGTATTTTTGTTATACTGCTTTTACATCTTCTCCCATATTATCTAACTTTTTACATAATTTCTTCCCTATCTCTACACCCAAAAACCTCTTCACGCATCCAGATTCTTCACAAAAACTTTCATGCTGTCTTAAGGCTTTTTCACACAATCCTTGTTTAATTTCACAACACCTAGATTTCATCCATTCAAACATTCTTTACTAACATTTAAATAAACAATTTTCAAATTACTGTATTCCATTTTTGTGTAACATCTCTACTAGTTAGTCAGTTTTATACCCATAGATTTTAATAAGCCCAATTGTAGATTTCAGATATTTTTAACTATCCTTCTGAAACTCCCTGACAGAAACAACTGATCTTCCAGAATATAGTTATAGTGGAGGATATGCGAGTGGGGGTGGTGGCGGTAGTAGTGGTGGTGCAAGCAGCTATGGAGGTTATAGCAATGCTTCAGGAGCTGCTCCTCCTCCAGCTTCTTCATACACACAACCGCAGTATGGTGGATATTCTGCACCACCGCCTCAGGGTTACTCACAGAGCCCGGCTCCTTATGCAGCACCACCTTCTTATGGTGCTCCCCCACCACAGGGTGAGTAATTTGCATGTGTCTTAGACCCCATGCATTTTCTTTTCCTGTTTCAGATCATGATTATCAGAATAATGCTGTGGGACAAGTGTCTCTCAGATTCCTCAGTACTGTGCATAAGGTATAAATATGTGGTCCTCATGAAGTAGGAGTGAATAAGTGATGAGATTTGCATAGAAGAGGGGAAAGAATGACTGAGGTTAAGATACTACTACCAGGTGGCCATGGGAGCTCATACAGTGGATATGGGATGCAGCAGCAGACACAGCCGCCAGTTCAGCCTGCAGCAGGCAGTGGAGGATACAGCAGTTATGGTGGACAGTCACAAGGGTATGAACAGAATAGTAGCTACCAATCTGGGAGCTATGGTCAACCACCAGCCAGCACCTATGGTGGACAACAAGCCAGTACCTATGGTAGTCAGCCCAATGCTAGCTACTCAGCCCTTCAGCCCCAAGGAAACTATGGAGGCCCACCACCACAGGGAAACTATGGGGGTCCTCCATCAGGTGGAAATTATGGGGGACCCCAGGGTCCTAACTACGGTGCACCACCACCACCATCAAATGGAAATTATGGTGGCCAAGGTGGTGGATTTAACAGTAAGTCTTTTATATTTATTTTTTCTTGTTTTTCCTCTTTAATACTTTTCAGGAATCTGGCACTGACTAGACTGATACCTGACATGACATCATTATGGACCTTAGTATATGTATGATATTCATTCCTCTCAGTTGACAAAAATCATCATTAGTAGACAAATGGGCACATGGAACATTTGAAAAGGTACTGCTAGCAATGAGATTTGTTATGAAGTATCCTAAATTTAATAAAAAACTGCTGCCAGTCACATGTTGCATGTGTATCTTATCAGGCAATACATTAAATCTTGCTTTGTTCATTGTTTGGAAGATTGTATTAAAACTAATAAAAATATTAATATAAATGGTACAATCTGTCCATCCATGCAGCTGTTTCATTGTTTGGTTTTGGATTCTGTCAATGAGGCCGTTAAGACGAAGTTGCTAGTCACTCAAAAGGTTGAGCCCTGTGGTTGTGGGCCAGCATTACTGTGTGTACTAATGCAGACTGCTGAACTTTTCAAGGTGGTCTAGGCATGGCTCCTCCCCCCCAGTCTGCCCCTCCAGGCTTTGGTGGCATGCACGGGCATCCCAAGAACCAGCTGTCGGCCCCCACTCATAGGTAAGTTGAACCACCACTAGGCCACTTAGAGGGTGTTGATAGTCTAAATAGTTTTGTTATTAGAATTCAGAGTTCAACTGAGGAGTTAACATAATGATGGTTGCACTGTGAAATCTTGTTGGGGATGAAACCTGGAGTACTGTCTTAAGTGCATATGAAATTGGTATGGTGTGTATTTAAAATAAAGGTCAAGATGAATTTTGTAGTGGTCACTAAAGGAGATGTTGGAACTTTAGAAAAGTCAAAGGGTTGCATATGTGGTATACATTTTTTCTTTAGAAGTTTGTGCAATTTCCAGATATTTTAATATATTTTTAGTTTTCCTGACAGGTTATTGGTATCCCAATGTAACAATGGGAACTGACGAGAAATGAAGAGTTGGTATATATAAAATGTTTTATTTCACAAGTGGTACACATATCAAATGAAGATATTTTAATTATGTGAAGAAAGTGGTCAGAAATGGTATTGTGGAGTGTGTATAGTAAAGATATAAAAGATTACATATTGTAAAACTTGATAATTTGCTCCACATGTTTGATAAAGTTGAATTCTGGCTTTGGTGTAAACAAAAATGTCAAAGTTGATGCTTGTCATGGGTGTAATAAATATCATACATCAGAGTTAATACTTGACTTTGGTATGGAGTCATTACAACTATAGAGGAACATTTCTATGTTCAAGGAAATTTTAGGCAGGGTATATATTTTAAAACGATTGCAAGTGTAAACTCGAAGTTGATTTCGTGTAACGCGCCATTTTAAATTGAGTGTACTAAGTAGAGGTCGGTGAAGAAGAAAAAATGTGTGGTCTTTGAGTTGATGAGTAACACCGTGGTGTGGCCAGGCAGAGGGTAGAAGGAAGAAACCCACGTAATCCTGTTGAGGACACCCAACAACCTTCCCTTGATGTCTGCTCGCCTGTAAATCAAGCTGACATTATTAGACTTTCAGCTCAAGATAATGTACTGCCAGGTGACAGTCTGGTCTTCATGTGAAATCACACATGAATGATCATGCCCTCTTCATTTTCCAGTTTAACAAGACATACAGTTGCATGAATGCATTAACCATGTATGCATTGGAATGCTTGTTATTCTGGTTTCAACTCTTATATCATTGACCTGACACTGACTGCCTAACTGTTTGACTGCTCGACAAAATGACAACTTCGTGCCAACAGAGCTGCTGATCTCAAAAGTGTCTTCTTACAGGCGGGATCAAGGGAGAGGTTATAACAAAGGTAACGGCACCTGTAGGTGCTTGTGGTTTTTCGTCAGTTTTGCAAATGCAGGCCACCTTAGGCACAAGATGTCTCATTTTCTAGCATCATTTGTGATGCTGGTTGATGTGTTATCTTTGCCTAAAGAATGCACTGTGGTCTCAAAGTGGGCCTTGTTACATTTTTTAATTTTTTGCATGATCACTATAAACAATGAAATATTGGTTCAGTTGAGACTATGGTGTGGTCTGTCTGTAATTGCATATCCTCAATCGTATAGAGGTATATCCTGAATATTTTGATCATCAAATGTTGATTTTACTGATTAATATTAATCTCATGATTGAGGATAAGCATTTATGTTTTTAGGCTTCAAGTGTACAATTAGATTATCACAATCATTTTGTTATATTTGGGACGTAATCAATGTGTACCCCTCTTTAGACCATGTGGTACATTTGAGCCTATTGTAATAGTGTGCGTTATAAAGGCTGAGGTACAGTTAAATGGAATTGGTATTAGTGAAGTTGGCAAGAACAAGACAATGTTTATTTAATGATGGGTTAATTTTTTGTTTTAATGATGGTACATTTAAAGGTGCATCAGGATGAAATGTCAAAAGCTCATTTCGGTGTTACGATAAATTCTGGTATACACAAAATGGTATACTGTATATTAGAAATTCAGTAAATGGTTTATTACTGGGGTATATTTAAGACGGCTAAACATAAAACGGTATGCTGAAGTTCTCTCATTGAAGTGTGAAGCCATCAAATTTTTTTTGTCAGTTTGTGCCATTGCAGTTAATATGGTCTTTGAACAGCACTTACCTTTGCCCAATTATGAAGCCATTCATTGGTAATATTGGGTGTCCTGTGTGATGCATGGAATGGGTATGAGTAAGTTTTGCAGTATGACTTCGGTACCTTCATCACAAATGGTGTAATGATTAAATTTGCTGGGAAGGGTGAAAGCTGTAACTAGCCTAACAAAAAAGGAATTAATAATAATCAGTGCTATAGTAGGTGTTGACTTGAGGTGGGTGGGTGATGAGAGTTGACATGTGGGATCTGCCTCGAGCCTTAGTTGTGTGCTACTGTTCACCTGGTATACGTTCAGAGTTTGGTATACAGTACGCATATATGTTGTGATTCGGTGTTTGTATACGGGTTTAGGTCATGAATACCATCCAAATTTGATATACTTTTGAAAGTAGGAAAACCCTCATAGGTGGGCAGTGGTACTTGGTTTTTTAGTAGTTAAGCAAACTTAACTTGACATTAATGTGCAAATTTAGTACAGTACTTGTATACAAATATCGAGACTAATACTAGTGTTGAATTAATGTCACTTATTTGCACTTGCAGACAGTTAAGTTTTCATAATCTCTGCATTTAATTTTTTCATAATAGAATTGATAGTGCATGTTTGTCAATGAAAGGTTCTGGACATAGGGCAATGGAAAATAATTAAATCTAGACTTGAAGCATCTTGAAAGTATTGTATAACATTCAGATTGTGCCCTCATTAACTGCCATTGACCAGCATGAACACATTCCTTCCCCATTTCAAGTTTGACAGTCTGTTAATTCAACTCTCCATTGGTGTGCAGAAGATGGCAGTGGGAGCTACGGGGGGAGCCGGTTTGATGGCGATAGCCGTGGTGGCGGCAGCGGCGGCGGTGATCGTTTCCGTGGAGATTCATCAGATTTGGTTATGCAAGAGGATACCATATTTGTCTCTGGAATGCCTGCAACTGCAACAGAAGATGAAATTAAAGACCATTTTGGATCTATTGGCATAATTAAAGTAAGTTTTGTATAAAAATTTGAATAAGACTTAAGTGAAATAGAATTGGGTTATCAGTTTAGAAAAATAGCAGCTTGAAAGAAATGTTTTTATATCAGTGTCCATGATGTTTGAAAGTCAGTTGATTGAATGTTTATATGTTATTGTATAGGATTATTTTTTTAGATGGACAAGAGAACGCAGCGACCTAAGATTTGGATGTACAAGGACAAAGCTACAGGACGCATGAAGGGAGAGTGCACAGTCACATTTGATGATCCCTTTACTGCTAAATCTGCCATACAGTGGTTTGATGGAAAATTATTCATGGGACGCACTGTCAAGGTAATGAAATAATGCTCTTCATTTCCAATTAGCAAGTGTAAATTTGTTTTAATAGATTAAAGATGACCCTTGCTGGGTATATATATCCCCCCCCTTCAGAGATACTTTGCAAATTTTTTCTCAATTGCTTTTTTTCCTTGTTCCAAGATCTTTGGCGTCTGGAGAATGCCTTTTGAGTATTAGCGCGAAAATACAATCTTATGGTGGTAGTGCAAGAAAGATTTGTTATTGGGCCATGTAGCCCTTCATGTGTAGCAGATTTTAGATTACATTTTAAAAGGTGTTCGATATTCCTGAGTGATAAGTCAAATAAGAATAGCTACTGTAACAAAGAATGTCACAATAATATGCCATGCCCTGATGCCAGTGTATAATCTCCAGTGGCCTTAGTTGCAAACTATACCACTGAAAGCTTCATAATTGCAATTATGTAACATTATTTAATAAATCACTTTATCTAGGGACCTAAGTACTGTACATGTAGTATTATATTTTTCATCGTTGCAACTCCAATAATTTTAGTTGCAAACTTCATATTTGCAGGGGATAGGAGTTCTTAATATATATATGGAAGGTGTCTAAATTTTCCAGCCATGACTTCAAATAGTTGACTTTTTCTATGTAATGAAATTAACTACATAAGTTTTAAAATAAACAGTATTGAAGAGAGGCGGTAGAAATTTGACTACATAAATCTTGACTTGCCCTCTGTTGCATGCATGTTTATAACTAACAACCCCCCCCAGGTGCACAAGAATGTTTTTCCCTCATCTAATATTATAAAATGCATTCCCTGATCACAGAAAATAATAATACAGTAATTGTATGTGGCTAACTCTGGCTATGGTGAAGCCTGCGAAGTCTTGCAATGTCACAATATTTGTTTTTCTCGGTAATATTATTCATTGTCTGCCCTTTGAGAAGTGTACATAATAAAATGTGTGGAACATCAAAATGATCAAATATATTCATGTAGCTGAAGTGCATGCTGTCTTGTTTGTTTAGGTCAAAACATTCTATTATTTATAACATCTTCATGCATGATTGTGAATCACTAAGCTGTTTGAGTGGGCGTGGGAATGAAATTGAAGACCGCATATTTCTTGTTGGTATGAAGGGCGCGCGCACTAAGGCAATCGACGTAAAATCAGTCAGGATATACTAAGCGTGTCACTAATTCTAGGCATTGTTGCTATTATCAGCAACCTGATAACAATAGTGTAATTTGATAAACTTGCATAATTAAATGTTGAACATCGCTATACTCAATATGATGCGCACCTTAGTCGCAAAAGTTTCTTAACAGCAAAAGTACCGTTATATATAACTACATTTTTGTGCACTATAATAAACCACTAAGTTGGTCTCTCACATATAGAATAGTATCAACTCGATGGTCAGCTGACTAGTGTGTTAGGATACAGTTGGAAAGATAGGTGGATGAATTAAGTCTTCCTACATTGCTTAAAAAAAAGATAATCCCACAAGTCTTATCCACAAGTTATTGATGAATCACAATGAGGTGGCTGAAAGATATGATCAAAATATACATCAGAAAGTGAAGAAATGGTCCAGGACGGACTGAAACGTTGTCATTTCTTAATTTTCTGATGTGTGGTTTGGTCATCTTATTTATGAGTTGGTAATTACAGGCTAGGGTAATAAGATAAGATAGAAGGGTTTGTAGAATGTTTGACAAATGAAGCTGTTTTGTTGAGAAAAATTTGGATGGAATTATGTGAAAGGGGGGGGGGCAAATGTCCTTCCATGTGAATTTGATTATACATGTCAAAGGGGATCTGTTGGTACTTTGAAAATCTTTGAAAATTCATTTGGTTTAACTGCTTTGTTTCCACTTGGCTCCTTGAACATTTTTTCCCTGTGGTTTTTTTTTTTCCATTTAACAGGAAACAGTGTGCTGCTGTTCTCCAAAATTTGTCTGGTTCTCTGAAAACTTTATATTGCACAAATACACTTTAGAACAGTTTTAGTGTTTCACGCATTTCCTTTTAATTTTGTTCCCTCATTTTCAACCTCTTGAATTTTATCCCTTATCTAGTCTCCAGGCCAAGATTTTATTTACAGTTGGAGTCACTCTTCTCATTCCTACTCTCATTTAGGTATTTTCCCTTAACTGGTTGTTCCTTTGAAAGATTTTTTATGACTAGAATTTCACATCCTCTTCACTTTGTAATTTCCTAACATTCCTGAATACTTCCATCTATTTAGTTCCATTTAGTGTAATCCCTAAGGATTAATCATTTTTTCTTACCCACCAATTTCTCCTGTAAGTTATTAGGGAGTTCAATCAACCTTTTACCTTCGTTTTTGGGTTTGAGGCCAGTTCCTTTTCACAGGAACAACGGTTTTTTTTTTGTTTTTTTTTTTAGGGAGCTCTTCTGGTTTCCTTGACCACCACTTCTAGTTCTTTTCTGTCTGGCTACTTGTGCATTGTCCTCCTTGCACTTTTCTATTCCCTGTGTAACCACCACCATCTGTAACAAAAGCTCTGTAATTTTGTTGTTGAATTTCCTTGCCTAACTTATTATATTCCCCAATATCTATATTTAAATTCTTCAAAATGTATTTTTAATACTTCCTCCTCCAGGACTCACTTTCCAGTGTTCCTTGTTCTTGCATAATATCTTCATTTGACCTTAAAGAGCTATTAACCTTCCCACTCAAATTTTCATTACTGCTCTTCAAATGACTGTGCACATATTTTACAATGTTCTCTATTTTTGCCTACGTGTTGTGCAAACCTTGTGTAAATATTTTCCTCTAGACACTAAAATCACTCTTGTTTTGGCCTTTCTCATGTTGGTGGCAATCTTTGATTTCTTTGTTTGCCGTTTTTACCAAATTTTTTCTTCAAATTCATAGTGAATTTTTCAAATTCATTGTCCTCATTTCCTGGGACACCACTTGCAGTAATCAATCTGTTCTACGGTGGTTAGGCCATTGGAAATTCCTGGAGCTCCTTGGTGTTTTTATTTTTTTTTATTCTACTGATTCCCTGGCCATTCCCCAGTTGACAAATACTGTAGTTTGGATATGAAATTGTGGGTGGGTGAGGTCACCCACAACCATACTGTAAATGTGGATTTTCAATACTTTTTTTTTTTTATCCTGAAGTGGTGATCTGTTGGTTTACAATAAAAGTACGACAGAAAATATTGCTGAAAATTCTGAGTTTTTTCTAACAATTGTTCTTGTATTTTTAACAGGTTCAAATGGCAGAGAGACCAAAGAGCAGTTATGAACGTGGACGAGGTGGTTTTGGTGGTGAAAGTGGAGACCGCGGTGGTGGTGGCGGTGGAGGTAGCAGGGGACGTGGCGGTGGAAGTGATAGAGGCTTTGATCGCAGAGGTGGGCCCCCAGGTCGTGGCGGTGGAGATCGTGGCGGAGATCGTGATGGTCCTCCTAGCGGTGGTCGAGGTGTGTTACGTAAACATTTAATATATTAAACCTAGTTTTTTCAAAGTTTTCTTTAATTAGTTAATCATACCTTTATTAATTTTAACCATTGGTATGGCAGGACGTGCAGGTGATTGGAGATGTCCAGTACCAAGTTGTGGCAATAACAACTTCGCCTGGCGTAATAGCTGTAATCGGTGTAATGAACCAAAGCCTGCTGGAGTAGGTGGTGATGATGGTCAGTCTTATACAAATTTTCTGAAAGTTCTTGCTCTTAAGTCTTGCTTCATAATCTATTGCATCCCTGCCTAGCAAAATGTTAACCTAAAAAAGGATGAATTGGATCATATATTTGGTAAACATGAAATATGAAGAATTATACGTGTGGTTTATTAATATTTTAGTAATCTGAGAAATTTTTTTTAATGATTTCAGATGGAGGTAGTGGTGGTGGAGGTGGATTCAGAGGCGGATTCCGTGGTCGTGGTGACCGTGGGGGATTTAGAGGTCGTGGTGGTGACCGAGGAGGACGAGGTGGTTTCAGAGGTCGTGGAGGCTATGGTGATCGTGACGGAGACCGTGATTCTGGTGGCCCTATGAAGGGGTTAGTATTATAATGTTTGTATATAAACCTTTCTCCCATTCATGGATACTTACTTTCCTCTGCTGAAATCCACTTCATCTGTTAAAGTATTTTCCTCCAAGTAAATTAATTGCTGCTCTTGATTATTTTTAATATTGATGCTTAGCAAAGTAATGAAATTAGCTAAGTCTTGTTTGTAAGTATAAGGATTTGCACACTAAAACATTGCTAATAGGACAAATGGAGGTCTGACTTTGTAAAAAAGGATTAAGAATGGTGAGCCGTTTATATTATTACTTAAATTTGTCAAGTTAATGAAAACTTTTATATTGTATATTTATGGTATTTTGTTTTCTTTGCAGTGACCGTGGCCCAGGAAGGTCTCGACCTTACTAACTGTCCCCTTGATTAAGTGCTTGAGGATGACGTTTGCAGAGATGCTCATTATCCTTCAAAACATTTTTATAGTAGTTAAATATAATTTAAAGCCAAATGCAGTGGTAACTAATTTTGTGAAGACAATTTTGAAGGACTTTTACTATGTGAATGAGGTTTGTATCAGATTTAAAGAGAGTACTATAAAGGAACAAGTGAAGGTGTAGTTATGCTGCAGTTTAGGTATAGTACTTGATTCAGACATTGACGGGCAGCCGAAATTGGTTACTTACCTTCCTGGGGATTTGTTTTTTTTATTAATTTTTTCTCCCCTCCCCTCCCACCACCCCCAATTTTTATGACCAAGATATTTCTTTGTATCAATAAAATTGAGACTGACTAGTTTGTTGCTTTAACCTGTTATAATGTAGATTATGCATGATTAACAATGTTTGTGGGATAGGTTGGCAACATGTGAGGAGGCACAATGGAACACCTCACTACTGCACTTTGAGGAACCGAGTTCATATTTCCAGCCCCTGTTGCAGAGGGGATGTATTCCTGACAGGAGCATTTGGCACCAGCAAGAACTATGGAGGATAGAGGGTCCTACCAGCCAAAGTGATATCTTAAGAATAGTAAATATCACGTTCTCTTGTTAATCTGGAGGAAATAGAGTAAAGTAAGTAATTATCAAAGAAGGCACCAAGCCAGGAAGGCTGTGGCATCAAATGTGCGGAATAATCAGAGGGCACTAACATATCGCTCAATATATGAACAGGAATGCACAAGGCAAAAGATATCAAAAGTATCAGATGAGGGATCTTCTTGAGATTATTTCGGGGCTTTAGTGTCCCCGCGGCCCGGTCCTCGACCAGGCCTCCACCCCCAGGAAGCAGCCTGTGACAGCTGACTAACACCCAGGTACCTATTTTACTGCTAGGTAACAGGGGCATAGGGTGAAAGAAACACTGCCCATTGTTTCTCGCCGGCGTCCGGGATCGAACTCGGGACCACAGGATCACAAGTCCAGTGTGCTGTCCGCTCGGATAAGTGACCTTGGGGGATGATTGGAAAGCAAGACGCTTGTCCAGGACATTCAACAAGGATATGCATAACTAAGAGGTACAATAAGGAGCAGGGTGGTGCAAAGATGTATTTGAGATCTAAGGTTAATATATTTTAAATCTTTAAGAGATGCCTACCTTGTTGCAACATGGTGTGGGAAAATGACTGTCAATGCAGGCATCATTTTAAATTTTTTTGGTGACCTTGCTAGTCTCCAGCTTGGTGCCTTTTGATAATTTTTGGCGACTTGAATTTGTCTCGAATGCAGGAAGAAAGTGCTATAAGAAGGCAGCCGCCTGCTTAAGGAATCTGAAAGACCCTAGAGTGATTACTGCCGTGATCCTTCCCCATTAAGGAGGTAAGGTAGTTATCACCTGAAGTGGCTCCACCTTCAGTTGTGACAAGGTAGTCACCATTTAGTCCATTAATAGGTTGAGCCCCACGTACTAATAACAATGGCAGTGCTCTGGCCAATGCAGGAATACTGTATCGTAGATTCTCCTACATAGACAAAGGTCATTTTAAGGGCAGTTGGTGCCCTAGACACCAACCTCAACAGTACCCCTCATGGGCAACCCCCTCCAATGATGACCTGAACAGGTGCTCTGCTTCACTGTTAAAACTTACAATGCCCTGAGCAGCCCGTCCTTCAAAGACCCAAAAGCGATTACATTCACCCGCTAAACCCCCTGTTTATGAATAAAAATTGGTTTACACACGACTACCGATTTCGTTCGAACACTTCAACCAGGTATCAACCAGGAACAAGTGCTTCACTGACGAATTTTGTTCGAACTACGCTATAAATGCTTCACCCAAATACTACAAATACAAAAAATGGCCAACAGAGCCTAAACACCTAACCTATGCCTATATATGCACAATATGCTAATATATTATAATTTATATTTAAGAAAATTCCCATTTTGACTGAACAGCATGTAAAAGTTTATGAATGCATCTGTGGGGTCGACTGCTGAATGTAATGAACTTGAGTCTAGGACCGGTTTGCCCTGAGAGGGGTTGAAGCACCCCCTCCCCCATCACCATGATATGACAGAACCCTTTAAAGGGGAATGGGGAAATTTGTACAATGCCAAGAGAGGGATGGCAACCCATGCTCCATCAACCCCTGGGAGTCTTACGCGAGTTCCCTCACTGCAACAAGGCAAATTTCTATAAATTACAGTACATGTATACAGTATACAAATGCATTTACTCCCTATAAACCACCACAACACAATCTTACACCTCGCCATATTCCATGCATTGTAGACTCACTTCCTGTCTTTCTTCTACCTACCTTCAAATAATCTAGAATTTATCTTATTTGTTCTGCAGGGCCAAACCATCACAATGTACTCTTCGTTCTTGCTGTGCAGATTTGTGTAATGTAACATTTTCGTTCTTCACATTTTCCTACTGCTCTGCAGCTTTATTCTTCATGTTCACACCTGAACACTGTTAGCCATTACGACTGCAAATATCTTTAGGACAAAAGGGGAACCAAGTAACAGAAATATATGCCTAAAGGTTTTCTAATCATCGAGCATAAACATTACATTTTATTTGTATGCATACAAAAATACATGAAAATATTAAACAAGTTTTAAATACTGTACAATGAACATTTCAGAAAATAAAAAGTGTTGGTTGAGGTTATCTAGCATAAGTGACCCTCACAAAGATGTGCCAGAGGCTGTATAAGAAAAAAGACATTATTTAAACTAAGCAAATACCCCCATGAGGCTTTTATTAATCACATAATAGTCATTTCATAAAACTAAATTACAAAGACTAGTAAATTTTTTGGCTATATCTCAAGTGTCTGTAACAAACCAGTTACAGCACTTTATGCGTCCAAAAAAAATGGGGGGGGGGGAAAGAGGGTTTGTAGTATTCAATTTTTTTAATTTTTTTTTTCTCTGCACAAATACTAAGGCACAATGGCCAAACAGACAATAGCTGTACTTCATTTCTGTATCTTGATTAACAAATGTATAACAAAACACCACCACCTGCAATATGGACTACATTTGCAAACATTAAAAAAAAAAAAAAAAGTAATTTAAACAGTTTTAAACGCTTTCAAATGTGTAATTCTTAAGACATGAGTCTGGGTAAAGTTTGCAATGATAGTAAACTTGATGAAATTATTTGGTGTATTACCATCCTCAGCCATGTCTGTAATATGTTACAACATTTATACAGCATAGGTTTTGTACATTTCATTTACATTTGTGCACAAGTCACATCTTTAGCCAACTGGTGAGCGTACTGCTCCTGTAAATGAGTTCTGGCCTCTTCCAACTGATGGATTAAACTTCGAACTTCCTTCAGTTTAGCTGTCAGTCCATCATTAGTGAAATTTTCACCTTCAATATCTTCAGAAAAATCTGAAAAGATATAAATATATTTAAGCATGTGATCAATGAAATCCTAAAATCTTATATATGGTATCTATTTTCATTATTTTCACCTAAATTGTGCTTCATATTTGATTTACCTTGATGGGAACTTCTTGGTATCAAGTGGCAACTAAGACAAACATCTTACATAAGTTGCATGTTACCAACCATAAAGATCTAGACAAGAAGGCTTTTTACATCCATACATGCTGCTTGTGAAAGGTCAGAGATTTGCAATTAGATTAGTACTAGAATTGAGAAGGCACTATGATGACAGGTTAAGGGAACAACCCTCAAAACCTTCAGGGAAGATATGACCATGACATAGAAGATCCTGAGAGGAATAGGCAAAAAGATGCCTATTTAAAAAAAAAAAAAAAAAAAAAAAGAGGTAGGACAAGGGACCATCACTGGAAGCTGGATTTGAAGTGTAAGGAAATTCCTGTTCCTACCTAAGAGTGGTTAACAAATAGAATGCATTGAAGGAAGGGGTTGTTGAAGCTAATTCCATCTACAACATTAAGAAAAAAATGATGAAAATGTTAAATGTTGAGATGTGCATTTAGCACACCAGGTATAAATAGCTAGGTGGGGCATAAAGAGCTAGATCTCCTCCATAGTCACCAACAGGTAAGCACCAACTCGAGAGGCGAATTCCTAAAACCAATTTACTGTACTGTATAACTTGTTATATATAATACTGTACCAACAATGGGATATGGACCAACGTGTTTCTTTTATAAAATGAACAAATGCTATTGATGAACAAAACTGAATACCAATCACTGTTTATTAACTAAATTGTTTCTAATCTACTGCAAAAATATCAGAAAGCAATAGCAGCGTGAAAAAGTTTGTAGTCCGGCATTCCACAGCATTGTTTTGTTATGAAAATCCTAAAAGGTGTAATTGAATAGAATAATAGCACTAAGCTCAACATTTATAATTAAATTTCTAGTGCATGAAAACATTTCTTAAAACAAGTTAAGCAATGCAAATAATGTACAGTATCTTGAAGTTATCTCGAGATGATTTCGGGACTTATCATCCCCGCGGCCCGGTCCTTGACCAGGCCTCCCTTTTTGTTACACATCCCCAGGATGCAGCCCATGGCAGCTGTCTAACTCCCAGGTATCTATTTATTGCTAGGTGAACAGGAGTATCAGGGTGAAAGAACCTAGTGCCCATTTGTTTCTGCCTCCTCCGGGGAGTGGTATTTGACATTCCTTGTGGGGTATTAAGGGTATTCTTCCTTCTTTTGCATAAAATTGAGCTGGTCCCTCCAGTAACTTGCAACTGACTCCCTACCCTTATTTACTTAATAAACCACTTGTAAAGATGTCTTCAATGGTGGTGGAGAAGAAGAAGCCTTCTTATTGACCATGGTCAACAAGGTCCTAGTAGCAAATACAAGTCCTGGCAAACCCATATTGTTTCTTGATCAGGAAACATCTAAGAGGATTCAGCTCAAAAGGTAAGAGTATTAATAAATTAAATACAAGACTAATAAAAGAATCCTCCCCCTTTTGTAATGAAAGTTTAATAAACATTGGATACGCACACATGTTCCACTCACCTGAGAAACTGAGCAGCAGAGACATGTCTGGGGAAGTGCCCTTACTGATTTGATGGGAGATGGTCACCATGTCCCTTAACTGTTGGTACAAATACAATAAAAAATTAAATTATTTTGTGACATTTAGTATTTATAGAAAACAACCTTTCTAAAAATAAATTGCAAAACAATTTTATTCCTTGAAAACTTGCAGGAAGTTGATGTTTTTAGAAAGATTAGGCTCTATGTGCCATATCAAGTTGTGCTAAGGATTCTAGACTGTTTGAAATTTGATAAAAATTTGTCCTTATATACTTCATAATAAGTCAGTATAGAATGTACTGTATAATAATGTATATACAGTATACACTCACATTTGCCACCAATACAATTATGAGAAAAATGATTCTTCTGATCAGTTTATACAAACAGTACCGTGCGGCACCAGTGGAAGAATGTTGCCCTGCTTGGCTATGCATAATTTTGTCTTACAGACACAGTCTATCTCACCTTAGGGAGTAACCTAGTGAGATAGCTCAGTTAAGTCAAGAGAACAGGAAAGGAAAATAAAGGAAAATACAAAAATTTAACAATAATCACAAATCATAAGATTTCAATGACCTATGGTAGGTGGAGCCAGAGTGATGATGCAATAGACAAAATTTTTCCACAGTAAAAACTCTGGAGTAAACTATACAAGCAACTAAATAAAAATACTTCTTATAAAACTGGCCTGTTTAACAGCAATGTGCAGGTTTGTCAAAAGGGACTTTATGAGAGATGACATCTTGCTATTAGAAGTCACTTGTTCTACTGCCATCTCAAGTCGCTCTTCCAACTTTTTCTGCTTCTCTTCTGCACTTGCCAACTTGTTTTTCATCTGTCAATAAAAAATTATGATTAATTCAAGAAAGTTTATTAAAATTATGAATATACTGTATCTTCATATATTTTCCACTACATTGAATCAAGTTATTTCTTTAATGATTTTTGTGGCAGAGTTATTTGAACCAGTTTTGCATATATAATAAAAAGGTGAGCCGTACTAATATTAAAGAGTTATAAGGTTATACTGTACTGATTTTGAAGAAAAATCATTGCACTTAACTACTGACCAATTAGCTTGATATCACTCGTGGAAAATAACATGAACAAATGCCAGTTCATATACTGTATATCTTGAAAAACACATTACTAAAGGACTTGCAGTATGGCTTTGCAAAAAAAACATTAATTTGTAAGCAATTTACTTTCATTCCTTTCAAACACATTTGAAGAAGTCAGTTTAAAAGATTACTGTGTGACAATGCTGGTGTTGCACATAGCTGGCGTATACCAATGGATAAAAGATTATATTAATTGGATCCTAAATATATATAGACAAAACAGAGCACAAACCAATGGATTAAAATCACGTTTATATTAAAAATTAGGTAAATATAGATTTGGTAATGAGGTTACAGACTTGCAGAACATGTTGCTGAATAACAAGACTGTACATTAGACACGAGGTCACTGGATTACATCAAAGTAACGGTAGAAAAATATCCAAGTGGGCGTGGTTCGGCAGTAGAGTTGCCTTCTGAGCCAATTGATTTTATGCAGTATATTTTGTTATATTTTTTGTTTTCAGGGGAAAGAGACAACTATATAAATAATTAATAATTTGTCAAAGGAGAATGTATTCATATTATAAACAGCATGTAAAGATTTAAAAAGCTAGTTACATTAAATACAGTGTATGAAATAATCAGGAATTTTTCATCCAGAAGTCATTACATGATGACAACAATTATACTGGTATATATGGAAGATCAGGAACAGTAGGGAGGAGAGGGGTAGTCCTAGGATCAAGCCTTAAAAGATCCTACTTTCTACTTCCCACATTTAGAATTCCAACACTGACTTTCCTGTCAGGTATGCCCTTACACATTGAATTTCTTCAGAAAAAATCAAGACAAAATTGCTTACCACTTCCTCCGTCTGCTTGTGTTGTTCTAACTCTCTTTCTAATTGCCAAACAGTTTCTTTGAGTTTCTCAACAAGGTCTACTTCTGCCTGAAGCTTCTCTGCATGCTTCTTATCTTGCATTACAAGCTCTTTTTGAAAAGACTGTAATTTTTGCTTCCTGTAAGTTAGCAGCTGCAAATGAAAGAAAAATATATAGAGAGAAAGCAATTTGGTTGGTTTTATGTATATATTTAAGTTACGATGCATGTGTGTGCATGCATTTTATAAGTTATATATATATATATATATATACAGTACAGTATATTCAGAATTGGTATACATATATAGTGACTCATACAAGGAACCCAAGTTATATAAAGTATCACCCTAAGATCGTCAGTTTACCTAGCCTGTTTAAATGACAAATATGAAAGCTTTGATGAATGTCCAGTTATGTGATGATTGGGTTAAGATCAACACATACTGTATAAAAAAGTAGACATTTATATATACTGTATATATATATAAAACACCGATGCATGCATGTAACAAAAAAAAAATACTGTATTGTATCTTGGATGCAGAAAATTTAGGAGCAATAAATTACTCTAAAATAATTTACCTTATTTAATCGAAGGCTACTAAGACTAGTGAAATACTATTATACTGAACATTAAAAGATGAATCAATACAAATAAATAACGAACACAAAATATTCACATTTACTTCTCATCTTCAAGATGAAAAAGACTGAGGATAGAAATGAAATAGCAATGCAAGTTAATACCTTGCGCAGCCCGTGGTGCACGCCCCAGCCCACCCCAAGGTTGACCTGGCATTACTCGTGAGAGCGCACCCACACTAAAATGTTTATACTCTTTCCATTGTTCTGACCTCAATTTTTGTGCTACGCCATTCATTTTGGTATCAAATTGTTTGCAATAAAATTCTCTAAAGAGATATATGCATATACTGTACTGTAAGATGAAAAAAAAACAGGCATGCTACCCACAGCAAACCAGAAAAATCCGCTGAGCATTACCTGTGAGCAAACACCCATCCACACACCCACAACACTCACTAATATGTGTATGGTCTCTTCCGTTTCTTCACCTCAACTGTTTAAGTTATGTCGTTCATTTGGTATCAAATTGTCTGCAATCTAAAGGTGTGTATTTTAAAAACTAGTCCCATAATTTTTGAACAGTAAATGGAATTTTAACAAATATTTTAATTTTGGACACAACATGTGTCCTCGCTGAACATCCATAGAGTTACTGTATTTACCGACGCAATTTCCGTTCCCGCCCGCCGAAAGTGTTAAATCTATAGATATCACCTCAAATCTTACCTTTCCAGCACTTTCTAGTTCCTTCTTTTGTTGGTCTAAAGTCCACAGTAAATCCTCTTTGCTGTATTCACCTTCCTTAGAAGATGCTTCCCTCTGATTCTCCAGCTCCTGATGACAACATAAAATGGTGTATGATAATTTTTGGCTTCCAAAAATTTTTGGCTTCTCAGATTTTTTAAATTTCATATTAAAATAGGAATTAAAAAAATTCTGAGAAGATTCCCAACCTATTTTCTAACCACTCTTGTCGCCATATGTACTCACTGCATGGTGTACTGTACCTATAATGAATCTTCACGGTCTTTCAGGACGTTTACCATTGCCCAACAGTTTGGAAATAGTTGCCTAGAGTAATTAATGTCTAGCATTGCTTTGCAATTGAGAAATAAAATTGAATGTTATTTTCCAGGTTTACTGTAAAGTTTTACTTTGCCTCTTATCTATACTTATTCTCAAGATAAATAATTAAATTACCTGTAAATAAACTGGTAAAGTAAACTACTGTATAGAAATCGAGACATTGACCTACTTTCATGAGGTTTTCAGCAAGGTTCAATTTTAGTGAGAAGTCATCCCTTTCCCGGGTCAGACCTTCTATTATGGCTTCTTGTTCACTCTCTTTCTTGGCCAACTTCTTCACTTGCTCTGAAATCATGCAATTTTTTTTTGTAACTAATGTTATACATAATCCATTTTTTATAAACACATTTTATATTTCATTTATATTAAATTAAAAAAATTTGGGAGTAGACATAATCCCAATACTAACACCAGCTGCTCATGTAACCGGGTTAACATCAGGAACATTTGAGAAGTTAGCAAACATACAAATCTCATTTAAGAATCTAAACAAGGATGCTCTCAAGTCTAGATACACTGGAGAAAAAAAAAAAAAGAGCTATGAGGAGAAGATAGTGGTGTTGATTTGCTAAAGCTGGAAGAATTAAAAGAGGAGATATGATCACTACATACAAAATAGTAACAGGAATCAATAAAATTGGCAGAGGAATTTTTGAAAACTGCAACCTCAGGAACTAAGCAAACAAAGATGCTGAAAAAATATTAGAAAGTTCTTTTGCATACAGTGTGGTAGATGATTGGAACAAGTTAAGTAAGAAGGTTGTCGTCTTTTCATCATCTAGTGTGGGGTTTGGTCAACATTCTTCAGTCACATTATTGTGACTCATCATCTGCATGTGGTGGATGCCAAAACCATCAGTAGTTTCAAAGCATCATATAATGGAGTACTGAGAAGACAACACCATGAGCGTAGCTCTCATCCTATAACTATACTTGGGTAATTACAATGCCAGTGTAATTACTGTAATTGCCACTACTTGAGTATACAGCACCAGCATGGAACCTATACCTTGCAAAGTCCAAAAATAAATACTTCTGACAGTTCTAAAATTTGCAAATAGATTAGTACCAGAATTTAAAAAGCTCAGCTATGAGGACTGGTTGAGAGAATTCATCCTTAACCTTAGAGGAGAGAAGAAATGGAGGATATGATCACTACATGTATATGGAAGAGCCAGAGGGTAATAGACAAAGTATATTAAGGAAGCCTATTTAAGTTAAAAAGGTAGGAAAAAGGATACATTGGTGGAAGTTGGACATGCAATAGAGTTGTAGAGATGCAAGGAAATTTTCATACCAGGTACAGGAAGTTGGCAAGAGAATAACAATGAAAGAAGAGGTTGTTCAAGCCAATTCCACTTACAATTAAGAAAAATATGATGGAAACTTTAATGCTAAGCGATGTAATTAACGAACCAGTTATAAAAGGCTGAGAGACGGGGCATAAAAAGCTTGATTTCACAAACCCCATCTCCTCTTTCTCAGTAGTCACTTAAATCACCACTGAATGCCACCAAACCTTTTAATTCATGGAGACTTGCCAGATGATTACTATCCTGGCATGAAAGCATGTCAAAATTTTGGAACCAAGAAAAAGTCTTATAATTATGATCGTTCAATGTTGTGGACCCCCAAAATGTGACCTTGTTAATGATCACTCATCATCAATATCACTGTCATACCATATAAAAACTGCTTTACTTCAATGCATAAACCATTTGAGGTAAGCATGTGCACAATTATCAATTTTAAATCCTGTACTTAATTCTGAGAGAACCTTGGCTAATGTTTTTACTTTTCTACTGTACAGTATTTGAACTACTGCTTTATCTCCGAGAAATGCAAACACGAGAGACTACTTAATAAACCACATCCATTTCAACTTACGAGATAAATGTTCGACTTTACTAGAAATATGTGAAATTTGTGCAGATTTATTAGCAATTTCCTGTTGAAGCTGCTGATGCTCATTGAGCGTAGGAAGATCTTTCAGATATTCATTCATTCTAGTCAACTGATTCTTTGTTACACTATGTCTTTCACCAAGGGCTCTGTACTTTTCCTGTATATCATCCAGCTGAAATAATTACAATTATCCATCAGTGGAATGTAGCCTATTGATTACAGTATAATCAAAATCACCGATAACATTGTGCACGTGTGGTGGCAGGGGCTGGATAAGTATCGGTGGGAGTCAGAAGCAGTGTGGGAGAGGATGGCTGGGCAGGGAAAGGGATAAAGGTTTTGAGGGTGTGGAGGGGTGAGCAGGTGGAGCAAGGCATATAATAGGAGGGAGGAGTGGGGGGGGTTGTATTGAAGGGGGAAAGGGGTAGTGGTAATGTGGGTCTAGGGATAGGGGAGAAGGGATGGCGAGTGTGGAAGAAGGAACGAGAGATTGTGGGAAGGGGGATATGGGACACTGAGAATAGAATGGGGCTGGGAGACGGTCTGGAAAGACATTTTGTCTACACAATTTTTGCTAGAGAAGTTACCTACTATAACTTTTATAATGCATTACATTTCTATTAAGACCAAGCATATTCAAATTGAAGGCACAAGACCAACATATAATTGTAGCAGTCAAAGCCACCTTGCATTGATTAGGCAAGACAGGACAGTATTAAGAATGTAGACATCATACAGTGACCGTCATCTATGAAATACCGAGACTTGTACAAAAAATCTTAATTTGGAATTTTAGTTAAAAATTTGATGCATACATTTTGCTCATTATCATAAATAATACTTCTGAGAAAAACAACTATCAATAAAATTTATACAAGAACTGAAAATAAAATACCTTTAGCAAAAACTCCTGTTCAGAGGCAGATGTGTTCTTCTTTAGATCATTATATGCAGTCATAATTCTTTTAAGTGAATATTCTGTGGACCTGTTAAAACAAGACTTGTGCTATAATATTACTGCACACTACTAAACATATATAACATTGTTAATATGGGTGGGTGGGATGGGGGAACACGACAGAGTAAAACAGAGAAGTGTCAGTTTTTATCCAAGGTGCTGTGTGCTCGCAGATAATTTTATCTTATTACAGGCCTGTAAAAGACAAACTTTGCTGACAGCAGTATAATAAACAGGGTAATAAAGGGTAGGGAGTAATCAGAGTCAGAATATTTACAAATAGACATTCCATAAATTATAAATGTTTATGGTTCACTTAATATACCTTCCTTTTCAATCACACACTAACTTAATTGTTATATATTATTGAACATTCCCACTACAAGAGTATTTACCTTTCCCTATGAGTTAGTTTTTTGTAAAATTTTCCCCAAATACTTCAACACCAAGAGTGCAGTATAGCATTTCAGCTCATTAAAACTAATGTATACTTTGTATACATTCAGACATATTAGAGAGTAACCTCCTACCTGTTCATCCCAAATCCACTGCATCTGGTGACAGCACAGGGCATTTTCTACAATAATTTTTACCAATACTTTACATTATTTATCAAAATAATGTACAATTCAATGCCATTGACCTGAGTTTCCTTATACCAAATGCCCTATATATATACAAATGAATTTCTGTACAGAATATTACTATATAGCCAACTGTCAAAACTAAACTTCCTTGTGGTAAGAAATTACACTCTACGGTGCACTCAGCAACAGTTGGGCGCCAATGTTTACTTGACTGCCATTACTCGGATATTCAAAATGCAGATTCTGACGTTTCCATGGGCCCAAGAGTTGGGAGGAACAGATTGCCGTGTCTTCTCAGATACAAACAAGTACAGGGTAAATAAAATATTTAATTGTTGCTTTAGAAGGGATGGGATACTCGATGCCAGCTAGCCCTTAGTTAGTGTATCATGAACACCAAAAAGGACACATTCACTCTACATAATGTTTTAAGAATATTTTGCATTTTAGTAATGACAAATATTACATAAGCAAAATACAGTAGGCATATAACCAATACAGTATACGTACAGTACTATAAAAATTAAGAATTACTTTTACAATCTAATGATTGTAAATACTGTTACTCCCTGTGGGAGTAACAGTATTAAATAGAACAATGTATTGCATACATACAACAAAACATTACTAACCCCAAGACTTTTTCCAAATTCAGCTTCTCGGAAAGTAGCTCCTGGAATTCTTTACTTCCCGTGACATCACCTGACAACTTATTTTGAATTTCTTGTACCTAGAAAATAAATGAATTTTGAAATACTGTACAGTGATCACTGATATATCAACATTTTGTTGTCTATAAATTAAATAGCCTTTTTAAAGTACTGTAGATTATTATGCAATGAAATCCAAGTAACACAGTCTGGGTGCTCATCATGTACACTCTTCATTGTGTTCCTTGCAGTAGCTTTGTGCTGTGTTCGCCCATGTCTGCCAATGGGCCCAAAGATGAGGCCCTTTGAATGGATTCTATGGAGTCACCCAGCAAATATTCCCTGGACTCTGAGTGCTGACCCAACCCTAGGCTCAGGGCTCCAAGCACACCACCACTGAGATTATTGCCACCCCCTTGGATAAATCATAGAATGCAGAATTGGCAATTACAGTCTCCTCAACAAGTGGTGCATGTGTTTACTCATCCTTGCATGCTCATAGAGGCTTTCAACACCTCTCCATTTGCAAAGCATTGAATAAAGGGTTCGCTTAAGGTTTTGAGCAACTGGGCAAGGGAGCAGGCTCTGTGCCTTCAGGTGCACAATACACAAGTCAGCCTAACTCTTTCTTTCTTGCAAGATCACTGTGGCTCTATCAAAAGTCACAATGATTTGTTACACAACACCTTCCTGTTTGGCAACCTGACTTCTTTTCTGTGTTTCAGTGCGGCTTAAGCTTCATCAATGTACTGCTAAATATCCATAGTAAAGTATATCTCTAATAACTACCTTCTTGCCCATTGTATGAAAGTTAGTCATACCCGATTTAACCTTTTCTATTCTTGCACGACATGTTTTCATCTCTAATAATGATACTAAATATACAAAGTAAAATGCATACAAATGTTAAATATTAATATGGAGAATAAAAAAAGGGTCACACTGTACTTGTATGGAAAGCACAGGGTTGGCCAACACAGCAAGTGTCAACTTATATTTATAAGTATTTATAATATTTACTTTGTCAACAATATTTACTTTGGCATTCATAAACAGTACTGTACTTAATACAAAAAATATTACCTGATAATGTAGACTCTTCAAATCCATAGTCTGAGTATTTGGTGAACAATGGACCACATGATCAAGGTTTAGGGTTATAGATGGAGGGCTCATCACTCTATGCAATGGAGCCACGGGTGAAGGTGTCTGAAATATTTTTACAGAATAATTAAGTACAGTACAAGAATATCTGCAAAATACAGATTTGCCCATGTTTGGCTCTCATTAAATTTTCTATATTCATTATATAAAACACAAAATTATGATAGATAAAAAAGGGTTAGAATATATATATATATATATATATATTTTTTAAACTATTTTTTTTTTAAGTATGTTCAAAGCTTTCCCAAGACAGCAATTGTCGAGAAACAAGCCACCATCAAGGGACAAGTTCACTATAAGACAAAAGAATGGACAACATCCTCAATACCCCCTGCAAGTGATAATTAGAAATGCAAGGTAAGCTATTTATTCCAGCCAGAAGCTGTTCAGTACATAAATACTATCCTAAACACCATCAGGTGACAGCACTTGCCACCACACTTGGTGGCAGAACCATCAATTCCCATTTTAACCCTCAAACTGCATGTAAATTTATTATGCATGCTTAATTTTAGTGGAAGTTCTTGTACTGTATATGATTTGTATCATATATGATGAATCACTGGTGAATGCTTCAGTACCAAAATTACACACTTGAGGCTGTGCTGTGCTGGCAACACAGATTTTTGGCAACACCATCATATATAATAATATTCCATTTTACACAGTTTTTCTATCAAAATGTACACATCTTCATCTACAGAAGGACAGCTGCTCTGGAGAAAGTTCAACACCAGACAACAAAAGTCATTCCAGAGCAAAGTCATCTCTCGTATCAGGAACGGTTGAGGGCCACAGGCTTAACACTGCAAACCAGGTCATGACAGGGCGGATCTCATTGAAACTTTTAAAATACTGAACAAGTTGGAAGATGTTGATGCTGACAACTTTTTCAAAAGATCAGATTAAACACAAACGAGGAGCAACGGTTTCAAGCTCAACAAACCTCTATGTAGGACTGAGAACAGGAAATACTTTTTCATCCACATGATTATAAACCCAAGGAACTGCCTACCCACCGAACGCAAAACTCTGTTAGGTTTTAAAATCCCCCTAAAAAAGGATCATCAAGGCAAATGGGGGACCTTTAACAAGCTGTTGGCTCCCTGTCCTCATCAAGGCCACTAGTAGTGGCCCTTAAGTACCTTACCTTGAGGTTACCTTGAGGTGCTTCCGGGGCTTAGCGTCCCCGCGGCCTGGTCGTCGACCAGGCCTCCTGGTTGCTGGACTGATCAACCAGGCTGTTGGACGTGGCTGCTCGCAGCCTGACGTATGAGTCACAGCCTGGTTGATCAGGTATCCTTTGGAGGTGCTTATCCAGTTCTCTCTTGAACACTGTGAGGGGTTGGCCAGTTATGCCCCTTATGTGTAGTAAGTAAAGTAATACTACTTATGTGTAGTAAGTAAATCAAGTAAATATCCTATTTTCTGAACAAGATGAGGAAACTATGAAGATAAGCCAGAGTAACATACCTGTGTACTTAGAAGATAAGGAGATGATAAATTTGCAGACACATTTTGAAAACTATGCATAAAACAGGATGAAGTCTCATTGTCCAACACACAATCTTTTTCACTGAAAAAAAAATCTGCTTTTAATACAAAATTAGCTATTAAAATTAATTTAAATTTTTATTTATTTTATTGTACCATCATTAATAAATACAGTACAGTAGATATGAGAGCTTTGAGGGGGAGGAGGCAGAGTGGGATCTCATTCTCCAGTTATGTAAGTACACTTTTGAATCAATCCAATAGTAGCAAAAAATGCAATAATATATTTAGGTGCATGTGCGTTTGCATGTGTATCTAACAGTGCTTACCGACTGATATTATGCACTATTTATGGACTCCCAGCAACAATATGGACAACTATATCCAAATCAGTTTTATTTTTATCAAGGATAAGTAATCTATTTACCGTCAATAAAAAAAATATTTATATATATTTTGAATTCCTATAAATCTGTTGCACAGGCGGGGTTCCAAACTACTGTACAACCTTCCTGGCTCAAAATGGTTAAGCTAGCATTTTTATCAATCTTTATATATTTCTAAGATTGGAGTAATCTTACCATGAATGCCAAAACGTTACTACAGTACTGTACAGTACCTGAATTTACCCAAGGGTCACTAATACTAGTGGCCTAGATGAGGACAGGAAGCCTGTAGCTTGCCAAAGGTCCCCCCCCCCCCATTTGCCCTGATGAACTTTTCCAGCTGTAATTTAAAACTCAGCCTGGATTTTGATCCAGGAAGGCTGTACAGCAATTTGGAACCCACCTGTATAACAGATTCATAGAAATTCAAAATGTAGTATATATATTTTGCCTGAAACACTTTGCGTATTAGTGGCTTTAGGTATTGTATGTACACGCTCTATCTATAAATTTTAAGTTTGTCTATAAATTATGATTTATAAGTTTTAAAGTTACAACATTAAGGCTGTAACTCATCTTCTATGGATGTACTTTTATTTGAATTGACATTTTGATATTAATTTGATTTGATATACTGTATATTCAGTACATTTTTTTTTGATTGATAGTAAATAGATTACTTATCCTTGATTAAAGTACATACAGAACATGGAAAATAACTTAGCCAAGCTTTACACATATTCAAACAAATAGAGAATATAAACCAGAGAAACCTACTAAACAAAAAATGTCATACCTTGATGGGAAAGGATGCACAAGAGCCGACGGAACCATTCCCCCGACATCACTGCCAATGTGCCCACCTGCCCCGGGTCTGTAACCACGATGTCTGCATTTTCTCTGCAGTAAATTCCACTTGCCTACGGGAATGCAAAATAAGCATGTACACTTTTGAATGATTAAATTATGCAGTAAATTCCTTAAATTATGTTTATTAAGAAGGCTTTACTGTACACAAAAAATAAGTCTCTCGGCACTTTGCAAGTGCTTTGGCCTGGGTTCATATCCTGGCTGGGGAGGATTGACTGGGCACCACTCCTTAACTGTAGGCTCTGTTCACCCAGCAGTGAATGGGTACCTGGTTGTTAAACTATTTTACGGGTCATATTCCTGGGGAAAATTAAGATCATGGACCTGCCCGAAATGCTATGCGTGCTAGTGGCTGTACAAGAATGTAAAAACTCTTGTACATATAAATAAATATAATGACTCAAATTCTGCTACAATCTACCAATTTATAATAACTTATGTGTTAGTATAGTGAAAGAATATAATGCTCAAACACCAATGTTATGTACTCTCACAACCCAATATATATATGTCCCTTCTTGTTTATAAATACAAATAAATAAATAAATAAATAAATAAATAAATAAATAAATAAATGTGGCCAAGTCAACAGTGGGTTGATCAGGGGTGAAATATTCACATTCATATATTTAAATATATACAAGCCATAAATAACACAACATGTGCTAGTGACATGTTTAAAATAAATATATATTACAATGTATGAGGATTCATCACGAGAGATTTAAAATATAATGTAATATAATGTTTTAAAGACTCGTAATAAGTTGTAGTAGTAGTAGTAAAGAATGCTTCCACAAGGCCCCGTCCCCAAGTCCAGTATCACCTGTCTCCTCTGGCTCCATCTCTCTCTAGTGCTGTACACGAGTCCCTACAACCACAGGACGAGCAGTGACAGTGACCACGAGCAGTGACCACGAGCAGTGACCACACACTAGTAACTCATGTTGAACGGATACTAGTCACTTGGTACACATGACGGTTCGTACACACACAGTATATGTTTACCATCTCCGACACGAAATTTGTACGTTTCGTATAGATTTAGATTTTAGATTAACACGAATGTTATATATATACAGTAATCAATAACTGTATATATAACATGTAATATTAATAATTATTTAATAAAAACAAAGTCATAAAGTACACGCCTGTCTCCACATGTCTTCTGTGTTAAAAGTATTAAGAGCGCTGTTGAACTTGTGCGCTAGCTGGCGTTCACAACTGTCCTCGCCTTCAAGTTAGTCACTCGAAACATTAAAATACTTTTATATATATATTACAATATTTTGCCTCTTTATGATGTCGTTGACTTCATGTCTTGCAATCTTAACCTGTGATTTACGACATACCAGACCATGAAGACCTATTGGTCTGTCATCGCGTTTCCGAACAACCTATGTTCGGTGAGGATGGAGGCGGCAAGGCGAAGAGCAACTCCAATCTGGAGAGTGTTATGATTGACGCGAGTTCCCAGGCCTGCACTGGGCACAGCAAATAAAAAATCCCCTGCATGAGGTGCTGTTACCGCTAGGAGACGAGCTTTGTTCTCATCATCTGCGTTTTCAAGCATTGTTGTGGCAGTCTTTTTCCATTATGGGGCTATCGCAGTCTGCCTGACTCTAATGACTTATTAAATATGGCAGACAATGACTCGCAGAGCTCCTCTTTGCATTTTTTTAAGCTCCCTGCCAAACACTTCGTCCGGCCCTGGGGATTTGTATGGCTTGAATTTAACTATTTATTTATTAATAACATCCTCCCTGGTAACTGCTAAACTAGTCAACCTGTCCTCTTCCCCCACTAACATAGACTTGTTCGGCTAAAGGCATAATGTTAAAATTTCTTCTTTTCATGAATCAATTCAATTTCTTTATTATGCATCCCATATCCATCCCGTGGGCGGAGGTGAAAAGGGTTACAGAGGCACATAAGTTCCTCTTTAGTAAATACAGTACAGAGATACTACACCCAAAAAATTTCTTAGGCCATTAAAATCAGTTTTTTTCTGAAATCTGGTACTTCAACAGAATTTTATCCTATAAATCTATTCCATTCTATGCTAAATCTGACATGTATTGTTTAATTACGAAACTACTTTTGGAAAACTATTTGTTAGAAACAGTCCTCGTAGGGATAATTGTATCTGTACAAAATAAATTTGTATATGATACAATTGTACATGATGATACCACACCCACCACCACAGGTCTAGCACCTGTGGTGCAGGCTTGGTATAACACCTGTGGTGGTGGGTGTAGTGCAGGCTTTGTCTAGCACCTGTGGTGGTGGGTGTGGTGCTGGCTTGGTCTAACACCTTTGGTGGTGGGTGTGGTGCAGGCTTGGTTTAGCACCTGTGGTGGTGGGTGTGGTGCAGGCTTGATCTAACACCTGTGGTGGTGGGTGTGGTGCAGGCTTGCTTGGTCTAGCACTTGTGGTGGTGGGTGTGGTGCAGGCTTGCTTGGTCTAGGACTTGTGGTGGTGGGTATGGTGCAGGCTTAGTCTAGCACTTGTGGTGGTGGGTGTGGTGCAGGCTTGCTTGGTCTAGGACTTGTGGTGGTGGGTGTGGTGCAGGCTTAGTCTAGCACTTGTGGTGGTGGGTGTGGTGCAGGCTTGCTTGGTCTAGCACTTGTGGTGGTGGATCAAAGTCCAGGTGTTGCCACCCATTGAAAAAAATAGCAAAACGTATATTTTTCACTAATTCACAAACTTGAGAGATATACATGCCTTTATAGTTAGATATCAACACAAATATATTCCCCTTTACACGGTTCATTCGATAAGAATGACGCTATAGTGTCTATAGTGTATAAGAAAGGTGCGCATGCGCACATGTGAAGTGGCCAGGGCAAAGCATGTATATAAGTCAGGTGTGGGATAGTCCGGCGAGTCAGTGTCTCCCACGATGTTAGTAGTGTGGTTGTGTGTGCTAGGCTGCGTCACTGCTGACGCCCAGCAGTCTCCTCCTCTAATAGCAAGTACGAAATTATATTGCTTTGTTGTGAGCTGTGACACGCTACATATTAAGAGATAAAGCCTATCCGAGTAATGGCTACCGTTAGTTAATTTTCTCTGCTAATAAACTTTACTCTGCCTCTGTAGTTCCATATTTTCGTAATATTTTTGTGAAGTCTTATTTGTACCTGTATAATATATACATAAATAACATTCTACATGAGTTTGAAGTGCTTTAGAATTGTATTATTTTGATGTTTGGTAATTGCACGAGGCAGACTATAAGGTCTGCGTGACCTTATAGTCACTGACCAAACTACCAAAGGGCACAGGTTAAGGCCGCTCTCTGACGTTTAGGCGTGACCATACAAACGTTATACTCGTGTCCATTCCACTCGGGCTATAGTTACGGGCTCACTATAGCCCGTGCTACATGGGGAAACTACTGATTTGCTAAATCCAAAACAATAACAACACTTACAGGGCTGTTTCGGGCGGTGCTGCCTCGGATGGCACTGTAGGGTTGCCTTTGGTGGCACTGTAGGGTTGCCTCTGTTGTCACTGTAGGGTTGCCTCTGTTGGCACTGTAGGGTTGCCTCTGTTGGCACTGTAGGGTTGCCTCGGGTGGTACTTCCAAAACTACTCAGAATTCACCTTTTATTTATTTTTATTTATTTATGCATATACAAGAATGTACATAAGGAATGTGAGGATACAAATATGGTAATTACAGTCTTGTAAAGCCACTAGCACGCGCAGCGTTTCGGGCAGGTCCTTAATCTAAGAAAATTTTAAGGAGGTAAATACTTGCAAAATTTATAGACAAAAAAATGATAACAGATTACATGGAATGAAAAAAAAAGATGAGAGAAAATTATAGGTACAGTATATTAAAGCACATAGGTAGCTATGATTGATTGCAATGACAGCTTAAAATGGTAGTTGACAACAAATTGGTAGGCACAATACAGCAGAAACAATATAAGATTGATTGCAATGACAGCTTGAATGGTAGTTGACAAAAATTGGTAGTCACAATACAGCATATGGCTAGCACATAAAAGACAGCAATGAACACAATGATAAGGTTGTTTGATATTACATAAAAATTAGGAGATTGGGTAACACTAGGTACAGAGCAAATTTAAAGCTCAGTGTAGGAAACTAAATAGATGAAGTTAGGTACTCTTTGGTTTTGCTTTTAAATAAGGCAAAAGTTTTACAGTTTTTCAATTCACTAGGGAGTGAGTTCCATAGACTGGGTCCCTTAATTTGCATAGTGTTTACACAGATTAAGTTTGACCCTGGGGATATCAAAGATATTTATTTCTGGTGTGGTGATAATGGGTCCTATTACATCTGTCCAGGGAGAGTTTCAGAGCATGGTTTGCATTTAAGAACAGGGTTTTGTAAATGTAGTTGACACAAGAGAATGTGTGGAGGAAGGTGCAAATGCACCTCGTGCATTTTTCAATGGTTTGAATATGTCAAGGTCATTGAACCAAAGTATTTATTATTAGCTTAAACATGTGTTCATCATGACCTAGGCTATAGAGAGCGAACCCTCAGAAAGCCCCACTAAAACCATATTTGGGATGGGTTTTCAATGTATTGATTGTATCAGGGTCATTAAACCATGTTTTTATTTAACATTATATAATATGCATTTACTGGCCATAGGCTAATGCCTGATAGAAAAGGTATTCCATGCATCCCATTCACCATTCCTCATACTCCATTACCTGACACTTCAGACTCAAAATTAATGTCATTTCATGCAAAGGGGATGACATGGAGGTCGACCTCGACCCGCCTATAACCATTCTGGAACAAAGACCGATCACCCTACAAAGTTCAGCGAGGCTAGCTAGCCCCCTACGTTTAGACTACACAATCTGGTGCCTTAGAAATCTCCATCGGCGAATCACTGTCCAATCATGTATACCCCTAGTATCTAACTCTAATGAAATGTGTATTTTATGACAAGTCAAATACCGTATCAACATCTATGTACAAAAGAGATCGTGTTTGTTCGAAGTTGGAGGCATGATGTTTGGGGTTACTCTTTTTAAGCCTTGCAAGATGATTGGTTTTGTGTTCGGAATGGTCTCATGCGGGCCGGGCTCGACCTCCATCCTCTCCTCTCATTTGCATGAAATGACAAACGATATTATTTTGAAATCTATGGTAGTGAAGGTTAGGAAATGTAATGAAGAGGGAATGTAGTGATGTTGGTTGTAGAAAAGTATCAGGCGGTGCCCGGGTAGTGAAGATAATGATAGTATGTAGTGAAAATGGTTAGCAATGAGGTGAAAGTGGATATATTGATAATGGTTGTGTAGTAAAGATGGTTACATTGAAGATAATATGAAATTAAGATTTGGCAACCCCAGGTAACCCCTCCCCCTCGTCTATTATATAACTACTAGGTAAGCAACTGTAAAATGCTAGTCATTCAAACTAAATAAGCTAATGATTATGTAAATCAATATGGTTTCCATAACATTATTTTATTTTAATTTTAAATGTAGTTCTCAAAGTTGTCAATAATTTTAGGAATTGCAGGCTTGTGTATTAATTCATGGCAAATCAAAAAACCTAATGGTTTTCTTAATTTGTCAATGAATGTTCTCTGTTTTAAGCATTGTATTGTTAAATATAAGTCTGTCTTGAAATGGGTAGATTAAATTCTCTTGTCTTTTATAATTGATCTATTAAGTTATAATTGGTACAATTGCTGTTAGTTTCCATTGTATTTTTTAATTTATTCAGTATCATAGAATTTAACTCGGGCATGCTTAAGAGTATGATTTGGAAATGCAGGACGGCTCGCGATAGGCAAGTGACTTAGAATTTAGATGTATCCTAATGGTTTTCTTAATTTGTCGATGAATGTTCCCTGTTTTAAGCATCTAAATGGGAGTGCACGCTCCATGATATTCTGCTGTTGTGGCGTACGACGGCCTACCGTTGTGGGCTACATTAACTCTAAACAAATCTAGCGGTAGGAACAACAAGGGAAGCAGTTTGAACATCCGTGATTATAAAAGATGACTTGTCAAACTGACAAAACGTGTCATTGTGTATACGCGCTTCGTGGTTCTCTGTAACCCACAATAGCAGCCCGCTGTACCCAGCAAAGGCAGGCTGTAGCAGCCTGCTGTTGTGGTGTACAGTGGCCGCTGTAGGTGTTACAGGTAAGCCGAAGCGTGTATACACATAATCATATGTTTTGTCAGTATGACGGTCATCCTTGATAATACCGGACGTTCAAACTACCACCCTTGCTACGCATATCACTAGATGGTTTTTAGCAAGATAATATTGGTACAGGCATCCTCCTGGATGTTCTTCAACGACCACAAGCTGCAGATGAAGGTCATATCGCGCGCGTCCTTATATTCGGGGGTTACAACAACAACTTGTTCCTTTTGTGTTGTAAAAAGCTTCCTTCCCTTTATTCTGTACTGCGTTTTTTGTATTGTCTTCTCACTCGTGTTCTCAGAGCTTTACATATAGGTTAATTAGTAGCCATTATTCAGACAAGTTGTAGTCTTAATTAATTTTGAAGTGTATCGCAATCTATTAGTTTTGAGTCAACGGAAAATATTGTCGATGGCGTTATTATGAGCAGAATGAGCTCTAGTAGTACTCATTTTTTTTTCCATTCTGATATTTTCCCTCTCATTAAGACACTTTCCCTTATTTCTGAGAATTTCTCCCTCGCCCACCATATCACTCCTGATACACATACCTGTCTCTCTAGCTTAAGTAGACGCTTCTGTCAAGGACGATGGTGTAGAAGCCTTTGACAGTCGAGGAAGATAGTCTGTCGAGCCCCCCCCTCTCTGCTGTTTAATTGCCGTCATTTTATAAAACACTATATTTGTCACTCAGGATTTTTTTCTGAATCCACGTTGTTTGGAAACTGATCCAATAGTTCAGTGTCGAGCTACTGGTCTAGCTTAGAGACTTAAATTTAATGGTTCTCGTTTAGCGAGCTACGAGTCCAGTGGTTCTCGTTTTCCTTCATTAGTTTTTTTCCAGACCTCTGGTAGTTCTCATTTGATTTCTCTTTTAGCTGAATTAATCTCTGAATAATTGGCTTTCTCTCTTGTGTTAAGTTTCCACGATTACAAGGCACACTGACACTACTGTTCTTGGCCTGATATAACTAAAACTGTAACATTAGAGTTTTATTTGCATAAGACGGGCTGAGGCATGAAGGAAACGTTGACTAGTGGAACCTTGCATGAATCTCCTTGGTAACCTCATCTTTTGTTGACTATCGGAAAGTAAATGCTGTCAGTGAACCTGTTCTTCACTGCAGCTGACTTTCACTCAGCGCCTGGGTATTGTGCTGGGCATGTTCTCTCACACAGGACCCGCTGTACTAGTTGGACCCGGTTGGCCCACTCCGGGTACTAGCTAGGCTGTGTTTGTAGACTTAACTGTGCTAACGAGGGGCTTAGTTTAGTGTATAAAGTATTCAGTAGTTTGTATTTAAATGAAATATTTGTATTGAGCTAGCATCGTCTTTATTAAATTCTTTGAATTTGTTTTCTACACTTTCGCTGAAGCTCTGACATCTGCGACTTCTTTCTCATTCCTCACTCTTGTGCATGTTGTGGTTCCCTTATGTTATGTACTCTCTTTATTCCTTCCATGCTCTTTTTTTTTGGGGGGGGGGCCTCTTAAACCTTAGATTAACGTTTTTCTTAATACCCAATCCCCTCCCCATATGGATGTTGTTTACATCTCTTCAGCTTTTTTAATTTTTCTCGATATATATATTCCATTATGTCTCGCGTGCTTTTCATTTGTTCCATTTCTGATTTACTTTTTTTAGAATTTTGATTTGGTATTGTATTCTGAGTCCTTGGTGAGTTAAATTGTTTTTCTTCTACTGAAATGATTCTCGCGAAACAGCATAGCTGTTTTTCTCCTCGATCTTGATCTCGTAAAGTATTTTGATCTTTTAAGCAGCAATGCCATTCCTGCTTTTCCCTCCCACTTCTGTCTCTTGTATTTCTGCTATCTGATGTCTTACGGAACTTCAGTTTGGTATTATTAACTGCATGCTAGACAGTAAAATTGTTTGTGGCCTGTTTTTGTAAAATATTGCTCCACCCGGGACGTAGAAAGTTGCTTGCATAATAATGTGTAGGTAGTTTACTTTTCCTCTAAATAAACTTTAAAGTCAAAGACCAATAGGTTTATATAAACTGTTAAACGTTGGTGGAGCAGGCCACAGACCGCCCCAGATCCCTTCCCTGTGCCTCTTGGAGCAGGCCACAGACATTTCAAACCCCTCTTATATTCTGTCTCGTGAAACGGGTTAATTCCTACATTTTTACATGATGTATTATATTATAATGTGGATTATAAGCTCAATACCTCGACGTAAATACTTGTAGGCAAATGCAAAAAAAAAAAAAAAATTTAAGGATAAGAGAGATTAAGAGAAAGAAGGAAGAATTAAAGAAAATATAATATAAAAAAATACATGGAAATGAAAATATGAGCTGGGGTCGTGCCCCTAGGAGTGCGTGTGTAAGACTGCAAATGCCCACAGGAAGTATTCAATTCAAAATGACTTTCGTGCATGCAAGCTTCTCTTCTAAGTACATTCTCGGTTTGGTGTTAGGCTTTAAGCCAATCAACCTCTAGATCGTTGAGACATTAGCTTATCACCTAACCAGCATCGATATCTTAGTTCTGAACATAATTCAAGACTTGAGTAAACTGTATCCATACACCGAGAAGTGGAGTACACCACACGGTGTATATGTCCTTGTGTATCGCCGCAAATACGGCAAAATAAGTATGTGGATTATACCGAGGACAACAGATTTAAATACATATTCTCTAATGAGTCTTAAAGTAGTTTGATATCAGGAGGGCTCCATACCTGGTCAAGGGAGTAGGAAGCGAAAGGTGTTAGACTGAATTGCATGTTCTCCCACAGTGAAGTATCCCGAGATAATAAACATGTACAGGTGTTGGTCTTCCCGAAGAAAGGATCCCAGCACGTAATTACCCGCCGCCGGCGGTAATAATAGATCATTAGAGCTCTGCTGGCAGGGAGGACAATAAGCAGTAAGAGGCACCTGTAGCCTCATCGTTGCCAGTTTCTGGCAACATCGCCATTCCTCACGTCAAAGGAATAATACAAGATACAGTTGGGGAAAGTAAATGCAGCTTTGCTACTTGAAATAAACTAAAGAAAATAAGGGCCACATTGCCAGTTTGTTTTCCCCATAGCAGTCCGAGTTAAAATAATGTTCTTGTTAGACAAAACATCAGACACGGGGATCTCTAGAGACATCTACTGGAAACATCCGTTTGGTGTTGGGCTCAGCCCCTGGCAACCTCAGCTGTTGTTAAAGCCACGCAACTTACTAACCAACCAATATAATAGTCATGAAGAGTTAAAACTAAAGCTGTGTATATACAGTGGTCAATGCGGCATGTATAAACCTACACAAGGGTTTATATTTGTATATTCTACAAAAAGGGAAAGGAAAGACTTCCTTTCCCCAATATAATATCTACTGTGAGACACTGGAACATGTCGGAGTCGATTGCTCGCTGTATACACAGTGGATTGCAATACAGAAATCTAGATTTATTAAATACGATAAGAAGATTTAACCCATAATGCAAACCTAAAAAAGGTATAAATATTCATCTATAATAAACTACCAGATGTAGTGCTGAATGACTACAGTCCCATCGTCTCGCCTCTAACCCTGAACTTCATATTCCATTCTCAGTCCTCCAACACAACACTTAAGAGGTCTCTCAAGTTGAATGATCTCCACTCATAAAAATATACGTGATGGTGTTTGTATTGGCTTGTAAAATAGTCAGATATGAATTGTTATCAAACTTTGAGGAATGGTGGGCCATGTGTAGAAGAGGCAGCCTAGCAACTGGAAGCGGCTGGAATTGTGTAGCAAGTAGGCAGAGTTTGTGGGCCAGCCAGCCACTGCATGGGCGCCTGGCCCAAGTCAATGTCAAACAAGAATCACGTAGCGTTCTGAAGTGAGGGTCGTCATTGTACGAGTTGGGGGATGATGATTTTTTTTTGTTCGGTATTTTGTATTGTCTTTGTAAATGGTAGAGGATGTGTAGGTAATACTAAGGCAATTGTCATGAGACGATGCAGCTTATTCACCAGTGTTCCCTCACAATAAACTTATTGGTAAACATATTTTCGATCTCTGAAGAAATTTGTGTTTTGTGTGGCAGATTAAGGATCTTGAGCAGCAAAGGATTGCTGCTCTTTGTAGGTGTTGCATAAAGTGTCTACAAAATGCTCGGAAAGCGGAATTAGGAGGTAATTCAACCCCGGCAGCACACCCAGGTGAGAAGTATCCAACATGGGAGGATGGAGAGTGTTATATTTGGGTGAATGTTTCCTGTTGACGTCGGTATCCTCCCCCACGATAGCAGCCACAAAGTAAGGACTAGCAATCCAAAGCGCGCTCAACACGCGGTATACAGCCCACCAGGACCAAAGGCCTCCTGGTAACCAGGAAAACATGATAACCGCTTGGGTGACCACCTGGTTCACTTGTACCGGCACATCTCTCCTCATTCTGCAACCATCCTTTTATGGCCAGAGATCGCATTCACTCCAAACATCTACCACCTACGGGTTACTCATGCCCATGCCACTTCTTGGGTGGCGCAATCTTTATCAGTCATTCAATCTGTTGACGTCGCACTGCTCGTACTAGCCAGAACAATTTTTAATGACGATCGGAAACTGGAGGTTCTGAGCACGTAGCGTTAACTGGCATCGGTTACATTTGGCTACATCTCTCCTGTCTGGCTCTCATGACGGCTCGAATGAGTTGAAGCACTAAACTGTTAACCTTTTTTTCACTGTAGTTTATAATGTGATATAAATATGCGAACAAGCTTGAATGGGTCTCAAGCCAATATGTAACTGAAAACTCGACACCCCAGAAGTTTTCGAACCCAGACAGCCAGGACCAAACTGATCCTGGCTTTGGTCAATTAGACCAAACTGACTGTACAGTCTTCTTAATAGGAGGTGCAGTTTGCATGAAGGGGTGTATCCTCCCGATGACTGCACCCGTACAGATGTTGAGACGCGCGTTTGTGGAGAATGAGAAGTCGCAAAGTGCGTGTTGCGTTGAGCCGTAGAGAGAGAGAGAGAGAGAGAAGCGGCGACGAGAAAAGAGGCGTACGTAAAGGGGAGACTTGGCGCACCGTAGGGTGGTACTTAAGGCGTCACTAGTTGATCTACAAGGTGAGTATGGAGGAGACCAACACGCAGAGACCCAGTGGATATAAAGTACAAACACGGAACAGAAACAAAAGTTAAGGCACACAACAAAACGCCTGACGGGCCCACAGCAATCGGTAGACGAGAACAAGCAACGCCACACCTACTCACACGTCTCCGGAAAGTCCGCCACCGGAAACGGGAGACGGTACGCCTCCCAAAGACACTCCATATCGGGATGGACAGGTGCACGAGGACGCGCCATGAATTCTGGAACCCCCCGGACATAAAAACACGTACACAAGGTACCCAAATAATAGACAGGCACAGAGGAATCGCCAACACCCGCTCCCACTGTTTGGGCGCCTCGCTAGTACGTATTTCGTCGAAAACCTCTTCACCGGTCAACCTCTCCAGACACGTCCTTGTGGGCTGCATCATAGGAGGCGGCACACCAGGGGGGCAGCATCACGGGCCACAAGGTCGGGCACCCGCACAGAGTCCTCGCGACGGACATCCTTCCTGAGGACCACCTCACCTTGTTGAGAGGCGGGACCAAAGAGCTAAAGCTCAACCCCCACAAGCACAATAGGAGAGTACAAGGCCCCGGCCAACATCGCCATCCGCCAGAGGTCATGACCTCTCCGCAGGGTGCAGTCGCACCTCCACAGATCTCTAGTATCAGCTAATGATACTGGTAATGGCTCCAAAGGGCCACCACTTACGGGCTATTCATGCCCGTGCCACCTTTTGGGTGGCTTAAACTTTATCAATCAATCGGTCGCCATCCGCGCCACCCACGACTGTACAGTCAGTTTGCTCTAGTAGTTAAGGTACCAGGTACGCCAAGGGGTGCATGGCGCTCCTGGCTGTCTGGGTTCGAGTCCTTCTGGGGGTGTGGAGTTTTCAGTTTATATATATAATGTAAAAATAATATGTACAGCAGTGGTACCGTTTTGTCATTCCATTGAACGGTATACAACTGTACATATAACATAAACTGATAAGACGCACGAACACATGTCACGATCTCACCCCACACATTTACACACATGTGGTGTCTACACATGTTCAGATACATGCACTGCATGAACACAATCTTTAATTGCTGGGCGGCCCCTAGTAACCATCTTATTATCGTCTTTACAGTGGCGCACTGGTATGCCCTGTTACTTTTGGCCAGTTAGTAAATTAATTGAATAATACTTGCAATATTATGTAGAGCTTGGGAGTGACTGATGATGTGTGTGACACAGCCTTGGCCCGGAACGAGTCTGAGAAGCTAGAGGAGGATGCGAGGAACTTCCTGCAGGAGTTGGACGTGCGGGGGTCACAGGAGTGCACGGAGTCCGCCATGGCCAGCTGGAATTATGCCTCCGACATAACAGAGGAACACAGGAAACTAAAGGCGAGTACTGCATCATCAGTGGTCGTGCTAAAGTGTCTTCCAGGTTTGATGGTTTCTTTTGATAATTACCTACCGTTAGTGTAGCATTTGGCGTCACTCCACTCGCTGGCTTCCTCGTTAGGAACCAATTGAATACTCACAATTAATATCACCGTTGCTAATAGTGTCACTTGATATATTCTACAAATGTGCAAAATCTTAATATAATTAAAACTAAAACAGGCGAAAGCGCAATTGAAATATGCGGCATGGCAGAAGGAGTCGTGGGAGAGCGTTCGGAAGTGGCGCGGCAAGTGGGAGACCCTGAGCGATCCCTTCCTCAGGAGGCAGTTCAAGTTCTTGTCTATCCTCGGCACAGCCGCCCTCCCCAAACAAGACCTCGAGAAGGTAAGTCGCCCTACAGTTAAAGGTCAATATGACGGAACACAGTCCTGTAGCGGGTGATTGAAGCAAGGAACATGCTATCACGGGTTCACTCCCAGTAACATTCCTTGTATTTGTCTACTTGACTGTTTTGATCTCGTATTGATTAATAAGAGTTATTAGTGGCTAATATACAGTAATTATTGCCTTCTACACATTGCTGGATCTCTGCGTCCTATCGTGTTCGCAGATTACATCTACACAAGATTGTATATAGACGTATCATTATAGCGTTAACTCATACTGAAGTTAAATGTGAAGTTAATACAATTTACCGTCGTGGTAGTACCTTATTCTAATATGAAGTTTGATGACAGTACAACGACCTGGTGACGGAGATGTCGACGTTATACAGCACCGCTAAGATCTGCGACTACAAGAACCCTAAAAACTGCAATTTGGAGCTTGAACCAGGTCAGTGTCTAACGTTAGGCTTCAGGGTTGATGAGGCTGCACCCCATCTAACATTTTTTTTTGGGGTAATTATTTTATTTATTTTATTTATTTATTTTATTTATTTATTTATTTATTTATTTATTTATTTATTTATTTATATATATACAAGAAGGTACATTGGGTTTGTGAGAATACATTGCATAGTACAGTATTTACATTCTTGTAAAGCCACTAGTACGCGCAGCGTTTCGGGCAGGTCCTTAATCTAGCAGATAATTTTAAGTAGGTAATTTCAATCAGAATTGATAAATGATAAAGATACATTACAAGAGAAAAATGAGATGAGAGAGATAAGTATATTAAAGCACATTATTATATTAAAGCTCTGATTGATTACATGGACAGCTTGATTAGTAATTTAAACAAGATTAATAGACACCATACAGCAGATTGACAGCACAATATAAGACAGCAATGATCACAATGTTAAAGATGTTCAGATTGGGTACATAAAGATTGGGAGACTGGGTAGCAAAAGATACAGATAAACAAGATTTATAAACACCATACAACAGATTGGCAGCACATATAAGACAACAGCAATGATCACAATGGTAAAGATGTTCAAATTGGGAACATAAAGGTTGGGAGATTGGGTAGCAATTGATACAGTGCAATTTTAAGGCAAAAAGTGAAAAACTATGAAGATGAAATTAGGTACTTTTTAATATTGATTTTGAATGATGTAAAAGTTGGACAGCTTTTCAATTCGGTAGGGAGTGAGTTCCATAAACTGGGTCCCTTTATTTGCATAGTGTGTTTACACAGATTAAGTTTAACTCTGGGGATATCAAAGAGATATTTATTTCTGGTGTGGTGATAATGGGTCCTATTACATCTGTCCAGGAAGAGTTTCAGACAAGGATTTGCATTTAAGAACAGGGTTTTGTAAATGTAGTTGACACAAGAGAATTTGTGGAGTGAGATTATGTTTAGCATGTTTAGGGAGTTAAACAAGAGGGCTGTGTGTTGTCTGAAAGCAGAATTTGATATTATTCTGATAGCAGATTTTTGCTGGGTGATATTTCTTTGTTTATATCCTTCATTACCTTAAGCGACATACAGGGGTAGCACACAAGGTGGAAAAACCATTGTAACGGTGATATTAAGACAAGATTTGAGTTAGTATATATATTAGGTCACTATGTAAAGACTGTAGATACGTGAATCTATTATCACTATTGGTGTGTATCCAAATGTCAACCTTTTACTTTTAATATTCACTTAAAACCTTTTCGTTCCCAAGAATTAGATTAAGTATTAGTAACATCACCATATCAAGACACAACGAAGAATGTCAAGTCGTTGACTGGTAGGTGTTATACACTGGTCATGTATTTTATAGAATGCTTTATTCAATAAACCAGCAAAGTAGATATGGGAATCATTTATTATGTTAACGCTAAAATATACTTTTGATGCATCATTCGTAAGACCATGGACTTTTTATTCATTGACATGTAGTTAAAATTAGCATCCAGAATAAGTTTGACATTGGCAGTTATAACGCCCAGAACATTAAAATCTTATCTATGAAGAGGCCAGCCTGCGTCCAAGGGCGGGGTCCAAGGGCGGAGTCCAAGGGCGGAGTCCAAGGGCGGAGAGTTAATAATACCATAATGGGTGGTAGTGTGGTGCCGTGAGGTGGTGGTCCATGTCCCCCTACCATCATGTGCAAGGCAAGGCACCTCCCGCTCCTCCACCTGTCTTGCGTGTGGGTGCAGTGGTTGTAGTTTGAGCTGTTGCACGCAGTTGGGGTGGAGTAGTTAAAAGTCGCAGGATAGGGGTAAATAGTCGAGTGGAATAGTACAGGTAGGTGTGAGGGGGGAAATGGTTGTGGGTAGAATAGTGTACAAGGATGATGATCGTTGGTGGGTGACGTAGTTGTGGGTGGGGGTGGACCAGCTGTGGATGGAGTGGTTGTGTTGGTAGTTGATCGTATGGAAATGTCTGGCTTGTCTTTTTCAGGAGAGCAGCATCCTGGCGTCATTTATACATGCGTAGCTGTGCTATCTGGGGCGTGCTGATCAGATGTAAACATGTAGCCTACACTTGAAGGTCGCCCTTTATAAAACATGACAAGGGACTGATTTGTAGGCTTTGTGACTCGCCTCCGTACTTATTACACGTTTGCCATGCAGATGTCTTGTAGTTACCTTGAAGATCAGGCGCATCACATTGTAATGAATACTGTCAAAGTCATCACACTTCCTGGTCGAGCTTAATCTCCATGTTAACGACTTGGTATCAAATGTAAATTTCTTCGTTGGTAAGATAGAGCAGAAATGGCCGACCGTAAAGGAACTTCACACTTGTAACGAGGAGCTGGAAGGTAAGTAGGTAATATTGAGGTGAGCACACGCCACCACAATGTTCGTAGTTCTCACTGATGTGGCCGACACCTGAACCAGTTGTTTCTGCCACTTCTTGCTCCCAAGTTTCTGTATTTGGAAAGAGCGAGTGAAGAGCTAGTGACTCCTTCTTCTGGTCCATCAGCGCCACCTGTGGCCGAGGACCAGTTCCTGTTAGTCTAGCCCTTCGCTACTTCAGTGCTTGTCTAACAGTGACTACTTCCAGTACTACCACTCCTCCACCACAACCACCACTACCACCACTTCCAACACAACCCCCCCCTTCTAGCACCACAATCATCCCCTCCACCATCGCCACAATCACCCATATATGTTGTACTGGCTAGCAGTGTTTGTTCCATGTTGCAGGAACAGTGTTGAGGTGTGGTGGTGGTGGGTCAAGCTAGGCAGAGAGCGGGGTTAAACAGGGTCAGGCTCTTAGGGGCTATTCATGCCCATGCCACTTCTTGGGTGACTTAATCTTCATCAATCAGGGTCAAACTAGGCTATAGAAGGTTTAGGACACGTTAGGTGCTACATAGTCTTCCCAATTAACAGTACAAAATCCGGACATGTTTTGGGTGCAACTGCCAGTGTTGTGTACTTTTGTGCAGTGTTCTGAAGGTACTATTATGCAGGTGACGAGTCACAATAACGTGGCTAAAGTAAGTTGACCAGACCACTCACTAGAAGGTGAAGGGACGACGACGTTTCGGTCCGTCCTGGACCATTCTCAAGTCGATTGAGATCTCTCCATTCTCCAGTACTATCATTATTTTGGAAGACGTGTCGTAATACTGCGACTTCTACGACTACTTGGCGCTAGTTTGGCGAGTCCATCGGCTAGCACGGCCTACTCTAATTATACACGCTATATTTTGTGTAAATACTAATGCTTTTAACGCAAATATTATGAATGTGACGATGAATTGTAGCGTCCACCTTCAGACGCTGGTCCTGCCATTTCAGCTACAGTCTAGTAACAAAACTGAATTATTTGTGATGACAGAGATCAGGAATGCAACCTTTCGTAAAGGAATGTGTTGCGTGTGCGCCGTTCTCCTTGTATAGAAGAGTATATTGGCGCTCTTGTTCACTTTGGTTGGATTTTCTCTATGGCTGTGAGTGTTGCTTGTACTTTATTATTTCAAGAACCTTAAATTTGTTGTATACAGATGGGGATAGGTTTTATTGGTGCCGTAAGTGGGGTCACACCTGTCTCCTGAAGCGGCAGGTGAACTCCGCCACCAGCCGGGATAATGTCAACAGTAGTAGTTTCACTCCTCCCACCAGAGGTGCCTGAGGTACAATGTTTGTCCTTCACCAGCGTGTCTTATGTGGCCAAATGTGGACCAGATTAAAAGGGTCATAATTTGTGTTTACTTAGTACCCGAAAATCGTTTCCAGGCTAATTTTCTCCCCATTGCAAGAGCTGTGGTAGGCTGGAGGAATTTGACAACGTCATAGAGGATTTTCAATTTCTTTATTATGCACCCCATACCCATCCCGTGCGCGGTGGTGTAAAGGATTACAGAGGCACATAATCGGTCCAGGAACTGAACTCTCTGGTTGATTACCTGGTTGATGGGGTTCTGGGAGTTGTTCTACTCCCCAAGCCCGGCCCGAGGCCAGGCTTGACTTGAGAGTTTGGTCCACCAGGATGTTGCTTGGAGCGGCCCGCAGGCCCACATACCCACCACAGCCCGGTTGGTCCGGCACTCCTTGGAGGAATAAATCTAGTTTCCTCTTGAAGATGCCTCTGGTTCATTTAGCTACAGAGTAACTTGGAGTTCCAGTTTGATCAGTATTCCTCCCCCCCCCCCTCACCTCAATATGCATCCAGAGGTTAAGGGGTAGAAATAGTCACGTGCCCGGGAACCGACCCCCCCCCCCAAGTGTTCACGTGCCAAAAATCGAGGCGTTTTATATAGTTACATTTAACAAAATAATATCTACTGCCATCAGTATGTGGATTTGTGATATTAAGCTAAATTTTTTTTTAGCAATTGACTCCCAGGTTGCATTTTTTTGTGTAATGTCGTGGCTGAGTTAGCTAGGGCGTATACTTGGCAGTACCCACCAGTGTGCAGGTTCGAACCCCCTCATGGCTTCTACTGATTTCATCATTGATAAAACACACACACACATATATACACATGTATACATTACATATAATATATAAGTGTGTGTGTGTGTGTGTGTGAAGACAAAGCCATCAGTAGATGAGACGACGACGTTTTTCTCGGTGAATGTTATTGGTGGTTGTTGTGAGGTCAGTGGGCGTACACGCCAAGCATTATGACGGCGCCCTCTACGTCCACGATCACCGAGTCTCTCTAAATAGACAAGGCTATTGTTATTGTGCGCTTCTTTGTATTGTTGACCTGGCCACCTCTCTCACTCATTCATGGTGCTGGAGGCGAGGAAGTGGAGGCAGCAGGAGGAGGAGCAGCAGCAGCAGGAGGAGCAGCAGCAGCGAGGAATGATCTTCCATCCTCCCCCGCCCCAGCCGATGACTGATTTTCCTTTGCAACGCTTCTTCTTCCCCCTTACCTCGTACCCCATTCCTACCTCACCCTTTGCTCTACCTAATTTCTTTCCCTACCT